GATCTACAGAGCTAGAAGGGACCCTTTTTTGTCACTGAGTCCAGCCCTTATCAAGGAGGAACGCTGGGGAATCAAACTCCCAACTTCTGGCTCTGCAACCAAGTACCTAAACCACTGAGCTTACAGCCTGAGGGAAATGAATTAGCTATTCTAATATGGTTACTAATTTGAAGTAAATATGTTTGGTGTTTGTTAAGATATGTCTAAATTGCAAGGCAACTCAATTCCCTTGAGGGGAATTCTCTTGAGGGCATCCTCTCACTGTCAGGTCATACCTGGCATTCAGTTCTCTTCAATACAAATAGCCATACAGGGAGAGGAGAGAAAAAATCCGTCTAATTGCAGTCCTATTTGAATAAGTGGTGCAATTCGAAGGGGCTTTCCGTTCTCAGCCAGTATTTCCTTATCTTGTCTTGGCCCACAGGAGATGTGCCCAGAAGAAGCTGTTTTTTTTTAAAAAAAGCGAATTAGTATCTTGGGAGAGAGGCATGTGTGCACTCTCCTGGTTCTCCCTCATAATAGCGGAGGCAAGGGGGAAGACGCTTTGTGAAAGCACCTGTGTGTGTGTGTGTGCGCGCGCACACACGCACATGAATGCTGGGTTGGTCTTTCTTTATCAGAGAAAGCAAAAGGATTCACTTTTCAAAAGTAGAAGGGTTGCTATTTCTTTTTTCTCTGTGCGCACACACACACACACACACACATGAATGCTGGGTTGGTCTTTATCAGAGAAAGCAAAAAGATTCACCTTTTCAAAAGTAGAAGGGTTGCTGGTGGGGAAGTAAAACTACATATTGGAGGTGTAGGACTCTCGGCTATTTCTTTTTTCTGTACCAAGATGATCTAGTGGTAAAGTAGTATAGCAATACAATAACTCAGTGCTAAACTTGTTCATTCAAAGAAATTTTAAAAGTTCTGGGACACTTGAAGGACAGATTGCAGGGGTGAGTGTTCCTGCAGTTGCTAAATATTATCGCCCAACTGCCTATGTTACCACCCACCGACACATTCCACCATCATTTTGCAGAATGAAAGAACTGCTCACACAAGAAGTCCTCTTGAATAGTTCCAGCTTCAGAAAAGTATAGTTCTTACATCAACCACAGCTGACTACCTTCCCCCTTTTTTTCTTTCCCCTCCTCTTCTTCCTTCCCCTCTTTTCCTCCATCCGCTCAGGAATTAGTTGGTGCCATCTGTTTTTTTAAGGGTTATTGCTATTGGTTTTAATATTTGTATTTTTGTTTTCTATTTTACGAGTTGTCACCCACCCAGAGCAGTGCTGTGACACTAATGGGAGCGGGATACAAATTGAACGAATGATTGATGGATTGATTGATTGATGGATTGATTGATTGATTGATTGATTGATTGATTGATTGATTGATTGATTGATTTAAAATAGAAGTCCCTTAGTGGCAGAAAAAAAAACTCCACATTGGGAGCAAAAAGGTCTGGACTGATTCTAATTGACCTTTGTGTCATGTGATCAGTAACAAAGAATTAAAATTCATCCATTTTATACCTGCAGCAAATCCTGTGGTATTTGACCATATACAGTAGTTGCAGCCTGAGTTAGATTTTGCATTGAGATGACAGAAACGTGGTCTCCAGGGTTTGATAATTCTGATTTCAAGCACTAGCATGGTTGTACTCTCTGTGAATTTTAAAAAAACCCTGCACTCATTTAAAAAAGGAGGTGAGGGGAGAGAGAAAGAGGGAAAGAAAGTGAAAAGGTTGAATATGAAAATGGCAGTTTTTTTCATCCTGGAATCTCGCCTCTGACACATTTAAAACTTTCAAACAACATTTCACATATCAATATGTGTCCCAACATCTCTCTGAGCATCTGGTGTAGAATTCCTGTTTGTTTCAGAAGATTCTGGAATAAATCACAAGACATGCATGCACTCTGTTGACGTTCTTGTTAGCCCATTAACTTGGTGGAGAGGGAACATCTCTCACTTTGTGGTGAGGCACTTCCTCCCATTCAGACCATGGGCTTCCTCAGCCTCTCTATAGTCCCACATGAACAGAAAATGAAACAAAATACCTCAATCGTCTTTTCATTATCTATAGCAGGGAAGCAAGCTGTCTTTCACATACATTTACCCACCATTACTACTTTTCACATTAATGGATTCTAGACAAGCGTTCAAAGAACCCCAGAAACCTGTCATCGCAACACAGATGTTCTATTGATACAAAGCACGTCGATATCTAGATTTCCAAGTTGTTCCCCCACCCAAGTATCTGAAACTTGTTATCTTCTTTTCCACAGGACCAGTTTCCCAAATCCAACTCAGTAAAGTATCCAAGTTGGGTTTATGTCATCGTCGTAATCCTTGCAGGAGTGCCCAGCCTGGTCATCCCGGCATTTGCCATCTACAAAGTCATCCGAAACTGCATGAAGAGAAAAGATCCTGGACGGCAGGATCTGGTCAATGCTGTGTCAGAAGTATCAATAAATGGAGAGCTGAGGAATAAAGTGTAGCTAAACTCTCCTGAGACATAACAAGAAAAGACTTTTCACTGAGAGAAGCCAAAACATTTATCTCCCTCTCCTGGAGGCCAGTCTATAACTGTTAAAGATCGAACTGTCCCAGAGTCTATATCAGACCAATACATCTTGAGTGACTGTCTTTAGCCGTTGTCACTGGATTAGTGAATGGTTAGTGCAGATAAGCCTAACATGCATCTTTTGTACTTCTTCTTCCCCCATGGTTGTTACCACCTTGTGCAGAAGTTCCATCAGTCTTATTTTCATTACTGTTATTAAACACATATCTGAGCAGGGAAATGCAATGTTTCTTTTCTAAATATTGGAAATGTCAGTACACTTTATTTGTTGTATTTAAATTAATAAGACATTGTTTTATCTGACCTGTACAAGAATTGTTGCTTGATGCTATAGCTATGCAAAGAACAACTTTTTAAAAAACAAAGTATGGGTTGAGAAGTGTGCTCTGTGCCAGTCTTTGCAAACTGGGACAAAGTGTCGGTGATTGATGCTCCTCGTTTGTGTTACTTCAGCTGTACAGTGGTGCCTCGCAAGATGAGCGCCCCGTATAACGACAAAATCGCATTACGATGAACTTTTTGAGTTCGCAAAAGCGATCGCTTTACGATGGTTTCAGTGGGAGAATTTCGCTTTGCAGTGATCTGTTCCCTGCTTCGGGAACCGATTCTAGCAAAATGACGATTTTCGGCCAGCTGATCGGCGGTTTCAAAATGGCTGGCGGGTAAAAAAAATGGCTCCCGGCTCTGTTCTGGGATGGAGTCCTCACTTCACGGGCAGCGAAAATGGCCATGCTATGGAGGATCTTCGCTGGACGGTGAGTTTCAAGCCCATAGGAACGCATTAATCGGGTTTTAATGCGTTTCTATAGGCTTTTTTATTTTGCATTATGACGTTTTCGTTCTACAGTGATTTCGCTAGAACAAATTAATGTCATAATGCAAGGCACCACTGTATTTTAGAATTGCATGAGAATGGGTGCTAACTATAATTCTCATCTAAACAACAATTTCAAAATTTGATTTGAATTCGATTTGGACACCATGTTTATCAAGGGACATATTAGGTATTGGCCATGGATAACATTTGTACACACGTAAAACTAAACCAGGTTAATACGATCAAGGGAAGAGAAGGGAGGATTTGCTTTGGAGATGCAGAAATCTCTTAGCTTGCAGGCTGTCCTGCATCAAGCCAGGCAGTACCAAGGATGAGGTTGAGAGTAAAGGGGTCCAGAAAGGGCACTATAGAGCCAGTCTATTCAGGCCAGTACAATAGTGTCTTACCAAAGATCAAGGGGCACCAGCATTGAGAATCCAGCAGTAGGATCTAGGGCAGTATAGTGTCTCACCATGAAATTATGAGGTGTAGCAGACTTGAGACAGGGCCTTAGCTGTACAAATTCAACCCTGCAAGGTGTCTAGAAAGTCAGGTTCAGGAAGGATGTTACGGCTAGTGCTGGGAATCAATGTTGTTTTTAGCAACCTTGACGGCCCAGGATTAAGGCTGACAAAACTGGCTGTGGGCCCCACTTGAGGGTTAGCAGTTCAAGGTTCTCCTGCAAAAGAATACCCTATTCTTGAAGAGACCTCCTTTACAGATAGGCATATTGTCAAGAAGCACCAACTTAACTAGTGTTTTTTTTTTTCCCATCAGTATTCTGCCAGTCTGGGAGGTGACTCTGCCTTATCTTTTAATTTCTGCACAGTTATCTTGAGATATAGCAACCACTATCCTTATCTCAGAGGGTCCAAAGTCTGTGAAACAAGTTCTTCAATGGTTGTTGTGGGTTTTTCGGGCTCTTTGGCTGTGTTCTGAAGGTTATTCTTCCTAACGTTTCGCCAGTCTCTGTGGCCGGCATCTTCAGAGGACAGCACTCTGTGCTCTGGTGTAGTTGGCTTGGGAGTGCAGTATTTATGGCTGTGAGATAGGCTTTTGTCTTTTTCTGTAGATAGGTGATTAGTGTGTCTTGTTGTGGGTGTATTGTTGTGCTAAGGAGAACAGGTTATCTGTCACTGTGGTTGATGGGTGTCATTAGCTAGTCTTGTGTGTGTAGTGATCCCCTGTCCTTGTGGCTGGGTAGAGGTCGTTGACCTTTTGCACGCTGTAATTTTGAGAGCTGGGAGCCAAGGTTTGTTGAGCTTCACACTTCCCTCTTTTTTGTTGAAGTTCTGCTGGTACTTGTGGATTTCAATGGCTTCCCTGTGCAGTCTGACGTAATGATTGCTGGTGTTGTCCAGTATTTCAGTATTTTGAAATAGAATTTCGTGTCCATTCTGTAGCTGTCTTCTTCTTCTTCTTCTTCTTCTTCTGGGACAACATTAGCTATCCTCCAATTATCTGTGACTTCATCTATCCTCCATGATTTCAAGAAAATAATAGACAGTGATTTTGTGAGCCACTGGCACAGCTGGGGCCCAGGCTTGTTAGATCTCCAGTCCTTAGGATACATGATATGTTGTTATGCATTCTACTTAGGCGGTGGGAGAAAATATGACAATCATTAGAAGCTCCTTGTTGTACAACTGGTTCTTTCTCCCAAAGATGTTACTCAGAGGAAGCTGCTATACAGTGGTGCCCCGCTAGACAATGTTAATCCATTCCATTGAAATTGCTGTCTTGTGAAAACATCATCTAGCGAAAAGCATTTCCCCATTGGAATGCATTGAAACCCGTTTAATGCATTCCAATGAGGAAGGATTGTCGTCATCCAGCGAAGATCGCCCATAGGAAAGCTGCTTTGCGAACCGCCGATCAGCTGTAAAATCGGTGTCTAGCAAACAACAGAAGCGCGGACCGAGCTGTCAAAATCGTCTTGCGAAAAACGATCTGTGAAGCATGGACCAAATCATTGTACAGCGAAATTCCCTCATAGGAAACATAGTTCTGCAATCACTATAGCGATCGCAAAAAGTCATCGTTATGAGGATTTGTCATTTTTCGGGGTAATCATCTAGCGAGGTACCACTGTATTGTTGTTTCCGTGGGTGTCAGTACACCTCACTGTGGATTTGGGACCAGAAAATGCCAAGAAATGCAGACCCTTTCCTCTTTCTGCCTCTCTAGTCTTTCGGGAATCTCTTGAAAAGCATCTTTTCCTCCACCACAAGGCAGTGAACAGCCTAAGCTGCTCACCATTTCAAAGATCACATTTCCCAAGGTATTTTCCTCACCTAGGGCTGTGTTCAGAGGTCATTCCTAATTGCCTTTATTAACTTCTGCAGTGATAAACTGTACAATCAGAACAACAGATTTAAGTCATGGTTATAAATATGCATTGGCACAAACTGAAGGAAGAGTTCTGACTCACAAAATCCATGGGCTGTTGTGGGAAAGAGAGTTTAGGGCCCTCTGAATCCTGTAGTTGAAGGGTGATGTGAGCTGCTCCATCTCAGAAGGAGGAAACAAAATACGACAAGAAGGTGCTCACCAATTTCCCCACCTGAACTGAGTGGCAGAGTGTGTGAAGGACCTGTCCCATCACCTTGGTTGAGGCAGTAGGGAGATGTTCTCTAAGGAATGGAAGGGTGTGCCCTTCCCTTCTCCGAAGACAAAACTGCTCACATCACCCTTCATTCATGGGTGTAGGAGAATACAATATCTTGCTGCCATTTCCACTGATTAAACTGGGCAACTCTCTTGCATTCATATCTTCTCTAGGATCTTGTAAAGCCAAGGTACCTCTACCAGGCATTGGCAGTTTCTGGGACCCTTCCTTTCACACAGTCAGGTTGTTCTGCAGAGTTAGAAATACGAATACTTGCCTCCTTGCTGTTGCAAGACTTAATAAAAATATTGGCACAAACTGACTAAATACAAAGGTGAGGGAGATAGAGAAAAAATGACACAAGAGAGACCTGAGGGGTTTTGTGATGATGTCATGAGACTTGTATGGTATAACTTTACTATCTCTCAGCCCATGAGATCTAAGGTATATTAGGTATGCAATTATTTGATAACATTCCAGAACTTTAAGCATTTGGGCTGGAGTTGAGAAACATGTGGCCTCAGAGTGTTGATGACCTACAATCCCCCATCAGCTCTCACAGTCAGGTGATTGTCAGAATTAAAAGGCCAGGAATTCAACTAGTTCCCACCAACTGATCCAGTATAACTAATGGCAGCAGGCAATTTGCTTTAGAATAACTAACACCACGTTACAGATGCCTGATTACTAACCATCCCACAGTACCAGTATTTCAGATAGGGACCCAGTGGCACCCAGTTAAATATAATTTAACTCACAGAATCCTGTGGTGAAGCTGGGAAGCAAGCTCCACTTATTTCACATTGAATGCAGCATATTGACTTAACAGCCCATTTTACCAGTTCAATGGTGCTAAATTCTCTTCTAATGCCAGTGGAGTTAGATTGCTTGCTGTTAACTATTTCCAAAGGTTGTTTTGTGTTTTTTTTAATATTTACATTCTGAGAAGTTTTAGATGACACACCCTCTCCATTGAATGTGCCTGCCTGGTATGTCCATCCCTCCTTTTCGGTGGGTGTAGGAAGTGGCTATACCTTTGGAGTGGGAAACCTGACACATCCCCAGAACCCCCTGTTGCTTCACAGCACCCACAAGTACCTTAAAAAATTGTTGGGAGAAAACGGACTCACAAAGGCCCCTTGCGCTCTACAGTAGCCAGGGGACAACTGTGCTTCACCAGGTCCCCTTCCTCCCGACTTTCAAGAGGATGTTAAAGACCATGTTCTTCAAAGAAGCTTTTAAAGACATCCTGCCCTGAGGGATTATGCATTTGAGTTGCCTGGTCCTGCCATCATTTAAGTTCTTGACTTTAGACAGGTCTTGATTTATGGTTCATTTTAATTTCCTTTGTTTTGGAGTTGGGTACAAGCATCATAGAACCCCCCTGTTACAGCAGCTCCACTGGCTGCTGATCTGTTTCTGGACACAATTCAAACTGCTGATTCTAACCTATAAAGCCCTAAATGGCTTGGGTCCATGCTATCACAAGGACTGCATCTCCCTTTATGAGCTTGCTCAAGTGTTTAAATCACCAGGAGAGCCCTTTCTCTCGCTCCCATCACAGTCACAGGTGTATTCCATGGAGAGGGACTTCTCTGCTGCTGCTCTCAGGCTTTGGCATTCCCCCCCACAGAAAGCCAGGACGGCCCCATCTTAGCTGTCCTTCCGCAAGCAGGCAAAGACCTTTCTCTTCAGGCAAGCTTTCCTTGGGTGACTGGTGGATAAATGGATGGTTGTGCTGTACTGCTTTGAATGTGTTTTCAGTATTGCTTTTGTTTACCACTTTTGTGGAATGTTATTTGTTTGATCCCTTTTACTATTTGTATACTAAATACTAGTATAAAAATTATAGTTTTTGCTTTAAATATTGTCTTTAATGATGTAATTCACCTTTATATGCTCAATGTTTTTTGCTTTATATATTGTCTCTTAATGATATAATGTAAACTGCCCCGGGGCCTTTTTAAGGAGAAAGGTGAGGTAAAAAGTACTTTACATATCAATGAATCAATCATCTTTATTTGTGGTGTGGGATTTTTTTGAATATATTCCTTTTATTGTCAACTGCACAGAGAAGTGCTTGCCACTTAGTTGGGCGGTATACAAGTATCTGAAATAAATAAATTTTGAGGGGCCCTCAGAAACCCCAGAGCCTCCCCTAATTAATTAAAAAAATGTATTTGGCTACTAGCATGTACAAGGGGACTTTTCACACAAACACACCCATTTATTAATATAATTTTTTTACAGGGTACTGATCGTGGGAACGGGTGCAATTCTCCAAAGAGCAGAGGTGGGCATGTGTGGCCCCTGGACCTCTGTGGATTGCTCACCCCTGAGATTTGGCAATGGACGCACATAGAACTCCTCCACAAAAGGAGAAGTGAAGGCCCAGCCACAGTTCCCTGGCAACGGCAGGAGTTTTGTCCACATACCTACATGCAGCAAATGCCTTCATAGGTCAACTGAAGGCATGTGCGCAACTGGTGAGGATATGGGGGTTTTGTGTATGTTAGTCATGGGATACAGAACCATTCTCTCAATGTTTGTAAGGAGTAGGGGTCATGCAAACCCCTTTTACTGTTATAAACTCAAGGGATTAGACAAGAGACGTTAATGGGGCAGACTGGCTGTTTAAAATCGGGCCCAGCCTTTATTTTCTTTGGTAAATACAGGCACTATGTTGCCATGGAAGCAGAATAATTTCTTCAGAATCTGCCTATTTGTATATGAAAGACCAATTGCAGCTTTGAAAGAGATATCCATGCTACATTTGGAGCTCTGTAAACATCCCTTAAGTGCTCTGGTCTCCCTAGCAATCTGGGGTAAGGATAGTGAGTGGGAGCATTTAAAATATACTGTTTATGCACAGCTTGTGTGCTTGTAACTACATACAGTATATATATTCTAGGTAATGATAAGCCTCAAGTGACCTTCCTTTTAAACACAACCAAACCTGGTCAAGTGTGGCATCCCTGAAAATCACTTTTGATCCATCTAGCCCATTGCATTAAAGTCTGAATGGCAATGTCTCTGGCTAGCCTTCTTATTCCCTGATGGTCTTCTAGCCAAATGCAAAGCAGGCCTAATTGTGCTTAGCTTCTGAAATTAGTCAAGATTAGATGTGTTCAGGGTGATGTAAAGATAATTTTCACCTGTAGGGCTAAATAGTGAATGTGTTTACAATTTTAATTATACAGGCTACACATTGCCCCCCCCCCAGCAAGCTGGGTACTCATTTTACCAACTTCGGAAGGATGGAAGGCTGAGTCAACCTTGAGCCGGCTACCTGGGATTTGAACCCCAGGTCGTGAGCACAGTTTTAGCTGTAGTACAGCGTTTTAACCACTGCGCCACGAGGGTGATGTTCAGGGTGATGTAAAGGTAATTTTCACCTGTAGGGCTAAATTGTGAATGTGTAGTCTTCAGCCCACCACTGAAGATCTTAAACAGATTCTTTTAGTATAGATATCTAAAAACTAGTGCCATTTTCTGGTGTGATTGTCCAACTTCAAAAATATTTTTACTACATTTGTTTTGCTACATAGTCCAGTTGCTTTGTGGAAACATTGAAAGTTCTGGGAGAAACCAAATGTTTGGGAGTCATCTCAATAAATTTACCTACAGTATTTGTTTATTTCCTGCATTGAGCAGGGGGGTTGGACTCAATGATGTTATAGGCTCCTTTCAGTTTAATTATTCTATGATTCTATGATCTATGGACAGTGTTGTCCATACTAGAACAGACCCATCAATTCAGAAGCAACTTCAAAAATATTTTTACTACATTTGTTTTGCTACATAGTCCAGTTGCTTTGTGGAAACATTGAAAGTCCTGGGAGAAACCAAATGTTTGGCTGTCATCTCAATAAATTTACCTATTTGTTTATTTCCTGCATTGAGCAGGGGTGTTGGACTCAATGACATTATAGGCTCCTTTCAATTTAATTATTATATGATTCTATGATTTATGGACGGTGTTGTCCATACTAGAACGGACCCATCAATTCAGAATTTGAATGGTAAGTCAATATGCTGAACCCGGACAAGACGGAAATTCTGAGGGTGGGCGCCCTTGGGGTTGGTGGCCTGGGTGGCTCTCTCACATTTTGGGGGGGGGTGACCCTGGCTGCTAAGAATGGGGTTCGCAGCCTGGGGGTACACCTGGACCCGACGCTCACCATGGAAACCCAAGTGGTGTCGGTAGTTCGCACCGCCTTTTTCCACCTTTGGCGGATTGTCTGGCTGCGACGCTACCTTGATATGGGGGCGCTCACTACCTTGGTACATGCGCTCGTAACCTCAAGACTAGACCACTGTAATGCGCTCTACGTGGGGCTACCTTTGAGGCTCCAGGCCTTCCCTCCTGTCAACTACTGATTTCTTTGCTTTAATATTTATTATTTATTTATTCCTGCACTATTTATTATTGTTGTATGCTAATGTTTTTATGTTTGTTTGTTTTTAAAATTGTTTTTGATATTCTGTAAGCCGCCCAGAGTGGTAGAATATACCAGATGGGCGGGATAGAAATCAAACAAACAAACAAACAAACAAACAAATAAATATCCATTCAGTCACTAGGGCGGGATATAAATCGAACAAACAAACAATCAAACCAACAAATAAATAAATAAATAAGTATCCATTCAGTCACTGGGTCTACTCTAGTCGGGACTAGCAGTTGAGTACTGGCCTATGTTACAGCTTAGATATCAATTGCTAGTCTCTACAATATGAAAAGGGGTGGTCCTTTGAAAAGAGGTGAGATCACGAGGTCCTTTCCTGTGATGAACATTCTTGTTATTTCGTGTCCACCTAAATTGCTAGGTGGATTCATGCTTTGGTATGATGTCAGAACTGGAAAGTTCCAAACCATTGTTCAGCATTCTCAGACTTGCTTTCCTGCCATTTCTATGGCAACTGATTGAGGTTTAGTGGTCAGGTTATTGCTCGTCTGAAATAAAGAGGTGGAGATTTAGTAAAAATGTTGGAACCACCACCTGAAGATGATTCTAGGGTAGTTGAAGATGATGTAAGAAGGCCAAAATGGGATAATAAATTCCAGTATCTTTTAAGCTGTATTGGATTTGCTGTTGGTTTTGGGAATGTCTGGCGTTTTCCATACCTGTGCCAAACTTATGGAGGAGGTAAGAGAAAATTAACTCTTCATTGGCTAGTAGCTTTGTGATTGGTTCTTCAGACAAAACTGCAGTTGGAATCATATTTTATAATTGTTTTAGGAGTGTAATTGATCTTTTATTATGTGTTTACTTCATGAAACCCCATCCATTAATTACATATTTTAGAAATACCTGACACTTTCTTGATTTAAGAGTTTGGCTCAATTTCCTCCTCTTTCTCTGTAAACTTTTGAAGCTTTCCCTAAAGACCTTAGCAGATTAAAATGATGAAACTTGTTCCCAGTCTCTGCAGTGTTGTAACCAATATTTTTTTTCTCTTCCATCCATAGACAATCCTGTCACCTGATTTTGGGCAGTGCTTTGTCCCATGACTACCTGCTACTTTTCAATATGTAAAAATAAGTTTTGTTTGATGAGCTGCTTTGCCCCAGAGATGTGGAATTTAGTGCCATAGCACTTCCAGGTTAACTGGAGTCACATACATGTATGAAACCTATAATAGTGTTTGGGGTAGCTATTTTTGGGGAGCACTAGGCTTTTTTGTTCTTAGTTCTCATGAATTTTGCTTGTCTTGCTTTTTTGCAATCCACACAGAAATTAATTATAAGCAGTCTTTGAGTGGAGATTGGAAACATGGTGAACATGACAAACAATTCAAGTATCACCAGTGAAATTCACTTCATGGAAGCACTGCTGTAATTATTTCACACCGAAGCTGATAAAGGGTTCTGTTGCTTTGTGGCTATATGTATGGTGAAGAGAGATAGCGAGGGCACTCATTCTGTTAAATTCTGTTAATTTCTTGGTCCAAACAACAACACCAAGTTGCTGTACATGCTCCATCTGGAAGATCCCGTGGTTAGATGCAGAAATCTCCCAGTTTTGAATGCAGTATTATGAATGTGATGTGGATGTCTTCTAATTCTACAATCTAAGATATATTTTTCGAAGGCCAAAGAAAAAATGTAGACCATAACAAAAAGAGAGAGATAGAGCCAGTTCTTGTGCTATATAAGCAGGATTAATGGAAATAACAAAAGCTGCTTTTGAGGTGGAGTAAATAGTAATCTCTAGCTGTGGGATTCTTCATTTCCTGTTTGCCCAATAAACCTCTCCCATTGATGGCCTTTCTAATAATAAAATAATCGGATAAGGGTTGTGTTACATTAATGGGGATGCTCTCTATCAAACAATTGAAGGCATTGTTCCAATACCCTTGCCCTCCCAAATTAGGTAGTTTTGTTTTAAGATTTCCTAGCTGTACCAGCAGAGCCTCAGATTATTCGATAAGGGTTGTGTTACATTAATGGGGATGCTCTCTATCAAACAATTGAAGGCATTGTTCCAATACCCTTGCCCTCCCAAATTAGGTAGTTTTGTTTTAAGATTTCCTAGCTGTACCAGCAGAGCCTCAAATTTTCCCCACAGATTGTTGTGGGTTTTTCGGGCTCTGTGGCCGTGTTCTGAAGGTTGTTCTTCCTAATGTTTCACCAGTCTCTGTGGCTGGCATCTTCAGAGGACAGCACTCTGTGCTCTCACGGCCAAAGAGCCTGAAAAACCCACAACAACCATTAGATCCAGGCCGTGAAAGCCTTTGCAAATATATTCCCACTGACCTTGATTAAAGGAGCCATATACTGATCCCAGGCTGGTGACTGCACATGTGCTTAAAAAAGAAGTGGTTTCTTTAAAATAAAGCATGTGATCCCAGTATACCTTGTTTACAGGTAACTTTGCACTTCTGGGAATCTTCTGGAATCACAGATCAATTTGTCAACAAAGTCTACAGGATAGCTCATGCCTTATTATCAAGGAAAAGTGGCTTACTGCCACAGCTGCCAATGTGGTGGCATTGTGTGCAGTTGTAGCAGAGCTTGTGTTCTCACACATAAAATTAGCCATCCTTTCAAATGTCAACAAAGTCTACAGGATAGCTCATGCCTGTGTGCAGTTGTAGCAGAGCTTGTGTTCCCACACATAAAAGTAGCCATCCTTTCAAATTAATGGTCCATGAGAATCAGAGAATGAGAGTCAAATTACATTGACAAATAATGGAGGAACTGCTCCACAATCGGGATGGTTTGATTTGCATTATTTTCTGTTAACTACATGATGTAAAGGTCAATGCAAATCTGCCTGGAGCCCCCCTCCCCATTTTTTCCGATTTTTCCCCATTTTTCCAATCAGAGATCGTTGAGCCAAGGTACACGAAGTCACGAACAACTTCCAATTCTTGCGTGGAGATGGAAATAGAGGGAGATGAGTCCACACCCTGGCCCATGACTTGTGTTTTCTTCAGGCTGATTGTTAGTCCAAAGTCTTGGCAGGCCTTGCTAAAACGATTCATGAGTTGTTGGAGGTCTTCAGCAGAGTGGGCAACAATGGCTGCATCATCAGCGAAGAGGAAGTCTGCATTTCAGTTGGACTTTGGTCTTTGCTCTCAATCTAGAGAGATTAAAGAGCTTTTCATTTGATCTAGTCCAGAGATAGACACCTTCTGTTGCAGTTCCAAAGATATGCTTCAGCATGACAGCAAAAAAGACTACTACTTAAAGCCTGAAATATGGCAGTGGGGTGAATAATACTTTTGTTTTTTTAACAGGCATACATTTCATGGACACATTCACATTGCTTCACTTCTTACATTCCCAGGCAGTTTTGTTAATGTTCTATGAGTCCCTTCTCTTGTAACTAACTCCAGCAGCACTCAAGCCAGTCACCAGCTTGAATGATTGCTTTCCTTGTTTACTTTCTAACTGGGTTGTGCCTCTAAAATGCAGCTGACAATGGATGCAGGTGTTTCTACCATTCTCTTGAATAAGGGACACAGATCTCTCAAAGAAGCTGGCAAACCTGTAAGCGTCTCCTTCTGCTGCTGCTGCTGCCCCAGCATCTCTTTCTTTTCTGCCAAATATGTCAGGTTCCTTCAAGTTCTTCCATCAATTCTTCTAGGATTTCCCCAGAAACTTTGCTTCTATCATGAACATTGCTTGTATGTCAGTATCTTCAGCATCACTGTGTTCCTGCTTAAGTGGAGTAGGTTTCCAAGCCATATTATCATTCCAGGAAGTAGCTTTCCAAGTCCCTTCAGGTTATCAGCACAAACAGCATTCCTGGCCAGAAAGACCTGGTGAAAGGAATGTTAAACAGGTATCTCCTCTTGCTGACACTCCTTTGAAAGGAGTGGAAGATTTCCTTTCCAAGTCCCTTCAGGTTATCAGCACAAACAGCATTCCTGGCCAGAAAGACTGGTGAAAGGAATGTTAAACAGGTATCTCCTCTTGCCGACACTCCTTTGAAAGGAGCAGAAGATGACAGATTTCCTTAATTCTCCCTAATTTTAATGCCATTTTAAAAAAAACACAGAGCTTGCATAATCGCTGCTGCTCCCCAAACTCCTTGCTACTATAACAGTCTGAAGAGTTTGGGGTACCTGGTATGAGAAGGCATGAACATATTAAACCAAATCTCAGTTATCCAGAGAAGCAAAATGAGGGACAGGCTTGGTTAAAAATGGAACATGTCACTTACGGTAACTTGTTTTACTTTAAAGTAAGCACAAACAAACAGAGAAGAAGAAAACTTGGTGCCAGTATGTATACTGTATCTTACAAAACTGTTGTGAAGAGGGAAATTCACAGTCTTGGGCTCCTTGGAGAGAAAGCAGGAGATTATGTGGTAAATAGGGATTTTAAATTTCAATAAAGTGTACTTGATACAGTCAGAAAAGTGCTTGGTGTTTGGACAAAATGATAAGCATCTTGCTGCTTCCAGGAGGTAAACCTTGAAGACAATATCCTGATGTTTTGGCTAATCTAGGACTCCAACTCTGTAATCTGTATTCAGACTGATTAGTGTTACTGAATAACTTCTCTCTGCAATGCTTTACTTTACCCTGCCTGCAAAGTCTGCTGAACAACACAAGTATTGGGTCTTCTTGAGACTATCAATCACCATAGTTACTGATTGATTCACATTTACTGCCTGGATTTAGCACCTGGCTGATTCAGGTTATTTACTTTCTCTAAATAAATGTACAGGGATTTATTTTATTTTATTTTTGAAATAACATGAGAGACCAAGACAGCAGTTCAGGACCATAAGCTGATAAGAGGTAATTAAAATGAGCAAGTTTCTGTGTTTTAACTGCTAATATTGATTTCAATAAATGCTGTTAAAATGGTGTTACTCATTGCAGAAATGGCATACAAAAGAGCAACTTTCTCAATTCCCAATTGTAACTTTCTGTAATCTCTTTGTTTATAAAAGGAGATTCCTCAGTAAGAACCTGGCAAATCATTTTCAAAAGAGCAGCTATGGTGGTTTCTTGGAGGGGGAGGGGAAACAAACAATACCACAGAGAGGCCTATGTCATCTTAAAGACTAACACATTTATTATGGCCAAGAAGTGCTGCAGGATTCTCTGTTATCTTAAGAGATCAGGTGTACCATGACCACGACAGCTGACCCAAGCTGATTGCCCTCACAGAATGAACACAAAGCCAATTAACTTGGGATTTAGAAGGCAGAGCCGGGAAATCAAAGGGGACAAAGCCATTTTGTTTTCCCGATACATGACCTTTAGGAGCAGTTACACAGAGGAAAGTAGATGATTGATACAGAAGGCTTTATCCTTGGCCAGAATATGAAATATCACATGCCAACGGTGATAAAAGATCTGGAAACCTAAGGTCCATTTTTCACAGTACAGAAACACTATACTTTACCATTTGTCAAGCAAAATCTTTGCCATTGTCCCTTTCCTTTCAGATATTGCTGCAGAAGAACCGAACAACAGTATTGTGGGGCACAATGTCCAGATATTTTGAATTATTGTTTCGATAATCTCACACCATAGACCATGCTGGCCAGGGTTGGTGAGACTGGCAGTTCTAAACATCTGGGCCAAAATTCCATTGGTATTTATGGAGCAATAATGGAATTTGCCTTAGCTGATTGACAGATACTGAGCATGTGTTGGTTGTGTGCCTGGTTGTGTGCTGAACTGACATCCAGCTATGCCCCTGCATGTTCCTGGTAGCTGTGGCAAGGTTTGTGATTCTTCTGCAAATGTTGGTTGAGTTTTGGCTACGGAGGGCAATTGGTTGATTGGAACATAGGAAGGGTGCTGCTGGATGAGACACAAGACTTATCCAGTCCAACATTTTGTTCACAGAATGGGCAATGAGCACCCACTACTAGGACACCAGCAGTACCCTCTGATTTATACTTAACGGGTACATGAGGTACATAGAGAAACTAGATGTGAAATGCAGCCATCTAGGCTCGTGGCTGCCTTAATTTCCAATAATCTATTAAATGATTTATACTTAACGGGTACATGAGGTACACAGAGAAACTAGATGTGAAATACAGCCATCTAGATCAGTAGCTGGTGGTTGCCTTAATTTCCAATAATCTATTAAACCTGTCCAAGTTGGCAACCTAAATCTCATAGCAATGAATGCTACAGTCTTAAGTGCTCTGTGAAGAGTTACCTCATGCTGTTTGTTTATATTTTCTGGATCTTCTACTATTCAGTAACAGTTGTACACTTTCTTTACAAGGAAATTGTTCTACTGTCTTGGTCACATTCGTTACCCCTTTTCCAGTTCCCCTGCATTAGCATTGCTTCTGGGACAGCCATGCCATGCAGATTGGAAGCACTTGCTCCTGTTTGCAACCATCAGCAAATGATGACTACCTATGTCTTAACTGAAAATGTCCTTGGCGTGCCCTCTAGTGGCCAACAATTTTTCCATGGCTTATTTGAACAAAGCAGTATTGCAAACAACGTTTTGAAGTCAGCTTGTTCAGCTGAAAATCAACTGAAATTAGCCACAGTTTGTCCTGGTTTATATATAATGAGAAACCATGAATAGGGCTGAAAGTGTCTGAGTGCATGGCAGCAGCTTTTCCCTCCTAATCTGAATATTAGTTGCATTGTTTTGTGATTAGTTTTCAGGACCAAGCGTGGGGTTCCTTTGATCTTATTCCTCAAACTTGAAAGCCTCCCTGAATCACATCTCTCCACCACAATTGTGCTTTCAGACCTAATAAGGGGCTGTGCAGATAGTCTGTTTCTCTCCCCAGATGCTGCTGCTGTGAAAGTAATAAAAAGCTTGAGCCAGATAAGGTTGTTACGAGTTGACTCTGCCTGGCCATTATCTTTCTAGGGGCGTTCTTGATTCCGTACGTCATCGCACTTGTGTTTGAAGGAATTCCAATATTTCATCTCGAATTGGCTATCGGGCAGCGCTTAAGAAAAGGCAGTATTGGTGTCTGGAGTCAGATCTCACCTTACCTGGGAGGTGTTGGTAGGTTTCAGTAGCTTTTACTACAAAATGTGCTAAGTGTGGCTTGTTCCTTGAAAAGCATAGGTTCCTTGTGACTATACCATAATATGAAGGAGAAGCATCACCTCCTATAACAGAGAACACATGGAGCTGAGCACCTGTCAGTCTGGAACTGAAGCAAAAGCAAATTGTGGGAATACTTAATGGGCAACAGTGCTAATTAGGTTCTCATGTGCTTGAGGTCCACGCTGCTTCTTTTATCCTTTCCTCTAACCTGCCTTCTGCCTCCATCTAGCTTAGACCACAAATCTCTGGCTCTTAGATGGGGGAGGTAACATCCAGAAGCATTGCAAAGTTGCACCCACTTCCGTGATCCCCACCCAAACTTTTGCCCATAGAAAAATGTTAATAAAAATGGAGAAAAGTTTGCTCTGGTCCAATCTCCTGCATATTCCCATAGTTGAGGGATAAGATGCCTTTGCAAAAATACTGTTCAGATGTTCATTTAAACCCTAAAAGTAATACTATGGCATTTTTGTCCTACCAGCCAAAGCTAAAGGACCCTTCCTCAAATGTGACCCATCTTGATGGGACCTCCTAAAATGAACAAATGAACAATTTTTAAAAACCAAAGCACAGATTGCAGGGATTTTGTGACTTCTTCCACAGTTAATAATAATTGCATGCAGTGAAGTCTATTCTGATTTAAAGGAACTTTTTCCAGGGTTTTCTAGGTAGAGATTACTCAGAAGTGGTTTACCATTCTCTGTTTCTGTGGGTGCCCTCTGACTGCAGCTTGCCCAAGACTACACAGGCTGACTTTGCTTCTGGGAGGCATGGTGGGAAAACTGAACTCTCAACCTCTGGCCACAGCCAGATCCTAACTCACTGAGATACAGTATCTCAACATGAGATTTACTTGTACTGAAGTTTGCTTTCTGCTGCCATACTACCAACATGGCTGTCATAGTCCTATAGCAGTTTGCCTTTGTGTGGCTCATACTCCTGCAAAATGGATGCTAAACTAAAATCACAGGTTTGTTGGTGTCTCCATTCATGCCAAATCTGTGTTTGCTTATTTCACAGGTTACTCTTGCATGATGGTGTCATTCTTAGTAAGCGTCTACTATAATATGATTTTGTCCTGGGTGCTGTGGTATTTCGCAAATTCTTTCAAAGCGCCTTTACCTTGGAGTTCCTGCCCACAAGATGCCAGCAAGCCAGGTGCATTCCAATCATCTTATTGCTTGCTATTTCTAGTATATGAATCATTCTAAATGTGCCCATCAATCATAGCATCATTTTTTTGTAGAGTTGTTCTATTGATTGTGAAGGGGCTCTGGGCAAGGTCTTCCACTCTCTTGACCACCCTTACCCTTACATGTTACCATACCTGCTCCACCCAAAGGAATTTCATTAATTAATTCATTTGTTCATTCCTTCATTCAGCCATTGATTAGTTACATCTATAGTTTCCTATTCCTCTGTTGAGTTCATGGGGGTGTACCTGACTCCTGTCCCCTCCACTTTATTTGCACAACTGCCCTGTTTGATAGTTCGGGCACAGAAAGAGTGACTAGCCCAAGGTCACACGATGAACCTGATAGCTTAGTGGGGACTGCAACCCGGATCTCCCAAGCCTTCAATCAGCACTGTGACCCTTCCCCTAGACTCCTCTTCGTGACACAGCCCTGATGCGCAGCACGGGAAAATATCCACAAAAGAGTGTTTCCACATGAGTACATTTACTAGGAAATAAATCAATAATGTTAAAATCTGCTTGCCTGGTAATGTTTCTTCTTAGTATTGTACTAGAAGGATTGTAATAAACCTATGACTATCTAGTTTGATGATGCTTGCTGTACTCTTTGTTCCAGAACTCATTGAAGAGTGCCACAAAAGCACTGCCACCAATTTTTTTTGGTACAGACGCACTTTAAACATAAGCTCAGATATTACGCAAGGTGGACCATTGCTGTGGTGGTTGGTTTTATGCTTGATTGCTTCCTGGCTGATTGTGTACCTCTGTACAATCAGAGGAATTGAATCCACAGGAAAGGTAAGGAGGTAGTATTCCAGGTCACTGATATTTTACTGTCCTAGTTCTTACTCATGTGGTAAACCCATGCCTGTAATATATCACATCAGGCAGGCAGCAGTTCACAATGCTTATATGTTCCATCACTGCTTTAAAAGTCTGTGCGTAGAGTGTGTTAGAAGAGCTGGACTCCTTCCTAAAATCCAGTGTTATTTTAATATAGTGAATTATTCTGTAAGTATATTTGTTCCTGCATTCTGAAGTCACATAGCCTGGCACAGGCTCCATATTGTGATTGTTAGAGATATTACGGTTCCAAAGTAGCCAATGCCAGACCGTTAAGGGGATACTGGAAGCAAAGTGACAATAAGTAAAGCCACTATAGATTCAAGATACTATGTCATCAGTGGCCAGTTCTTATCAAAATCATCTCAGCTTCAGCTTGGACCAAGAGCAGTCACCAGGAGAGTCACATGTAACGTGTATCATAGCAGTCTAGTTTCCAATACACTCCAGTGAAGTGTGTCCCACCGATTGAGGCCAGATCTTATTGTAAGCAAAGGAGGCTGTGTAAGCAAATGTACCGAGTGGCTTCTACCTAGCTCTGGCTCTAAAGACCCAATCCATCGTTACATCCCAGTTGAGCTCCTGTAATGCTTTTGATCACTTTTCATGGCTTGGCTTCTGCTTCCAATATTTCCACGGAATTTGTTTCTAACACATAAAGTAAAAGAAAGACTAGGTTAGGGAGTAGTAAGTTATAAAGGGAAAGTATAAAAAAAACTTTATTAGGAATATAGATATCTTTTTTCACACATCTACTGAATTAAAAGCTACTCAGTAACAGACTGCTAGCTGGAAGTGCCTGAGACCCTAAGGATTTGCTTGGGATCTTAGATTCTTGTGAAACCGGGAAGTGCTATGGAAACTTTCTTTGCAGAGCTTGGAAAGTTTGTTTTTTTTAAAAAAAAAATTAACGCAATGTCTTATGATGACACTCATCCTCTCAAGTTACTAGAAACAATTGCCATTACAATTTTAAAAAAGTAATTCAGTATGTTGTTCATCAAGGTCTCTATGAGCCACAAATATGAGTTTCTGTGCTTGTTCAGAGTATCATTCTGGAACATTCCAAAAATGAGCAGTTTAGGCAGAAGTTCCATCCTCACCTCATGCAGTGCATGACCAAGCATGCATAAAGCAAATCTCTTCAGTTCCTTTTCATTTACCAGAAGAGAAATTTTGTGAGGAGCATTGCTGATTGCTTCATTCTGTTTCAGGAGTCTTCCTTCTCTCAGATGACCCTTGCCCATCTCTGTGGGGCTCTTTGGCTCTGTTTGAAAAATGCAGGGGGAAGAGTACTTGAATAGAAGGCCATTCCCAATGTTTTCTTCCTGTGTGACGACCATTTATCTCAGGCCTGCTCTGTTTGTAGGGGTTTCACAAAACAGAAGCTTAAGCTCGGCCAGTCTAAATCTTGTCTCTATTTGAGGGAAAGATCATTCATATCAGTCAATCAAGCTGCCCCAAATTGCCCCCTTCACACCAGTTCTGTCAGTATGTCAAACAACCACTGTAGGTGACTCTCTGATCTTGACTCCAACACGTCCCTTGTCACCGATGCAGGTTCTAGATAACATAATGACCAATAATGACTGTCTCCTTGATGCCATTGTGGAATCCCTCTGCCTTGCCTTCGTGTCTCACCTTCCAAAGCCAGGCAAGGTTATTTCACTACCAAAAACCAGGAAGTACTTTTCTAGAGGATGATGTGACACATCTGCCAATATAGAGATACTGAAGACCAGGAGTTGGTGAGACGCACCAACCACCACCTGTTACTCCAATACATATTGCATTGATCGATTTATCAACTTTATCCGTGCTGTGCACCTTTCTCCAGTTTGAATCTTGACAGCATCTGTTCTGGTTTCGACTTTATTTTTGGATCTGATTTTGTCTTCTCTAGCCAGTTCATCTGCTGTTCTTACTAAGGTCTCGTTGGCTTAGACAGTGAACCTCTTTAGGAATGTGAATTCACCAGCCTCCCTTGACCATCATTGTTCTGCAGAGGATGTTCAGTGTCTTGGTTCCTTTTCAGACAGGGAGATCCTAGACCATCTCCAGAGCCTTCAAGATTGATGCCTATTTCCCACTGAAGGCAAAAACTCGGTCCTGCCTCTCACAAAGACTGAGGATCTAATCGGACTGGCCTCTCACAGATCAACTTGGCCAGATATGTGGCTGACTGTGCTTCAAAAGTCATGTCACCCTCAGTTTCGTTGCATCATCATGCTTGGTTTCATATCATAACAATAACTGATGCTCTCAGGTCCAGAACAGAGGACCTCCCATTCAGTGGGGAGGGCTACTTTAATTCTAAAACCAATGAGATCAAGGACTAGTGATGATGCATGGTCAGTATTATCGAAAGTGCATAAATTGTGGTGGTAGTCTGGCTGGTGTTGTCCTGCTTCCCTTCTTGGCTGGCCACTCCAGTGAGGGAGTGAGGATGAGCCTCCCCACTCAGCTGCTGAGTGGTAAGTGGATGCCCAGTTTGGCGGGGGGAGGGTACAATCGGGCCTGCCACCTGTGCTGGTGAGCTTCGTACTCGTTTCCCCTGGGAAAGAAATATGAAGTTCCCACGTCTGTGAAGGACGACCTGTCTCAGTGTCTCTCCCTGTTATTTGTATTATGGCAGACTGGAACGGTGAGGATTCACTTTTAGGCATACTTGGTCATGTGTGGTATGAGGGGAGGGAACATTCTGGAATGATGCTGTGTGCAGGTGCAGGAACCCTTACGTGTAAATTCACAAATGACCTCTCAAAGAACCACAGTTACAACTGCAACCCATTGATACCTGTCACATTTCTTATTATATGTTTTTAAATTACTTCTTCGTTCCTTTGAAAAGTTCATTGAAAAATTAGGAAATGTCCTAAAAGCTGGAAGGCTAAAACATTCAAAATGCCCCCAAAACACTTTTGTGGCGAGGAAAGGTGAAAGTAAGCTGTAGTACTTTACACATAAACAGTCCCAGTGTTTATAAGACATAATTATGATTTCATTACCTCCTCCCCCAAAGTAAGGCGTTAAACAGGCTGTCACTGTTGAAAGGCATTCGGTTACTTTTGCAAGTGGAAAGTTCCTGATTTGGTCCCTAGCATGTTCCGTTGAGCTGCTGATGTTTGCAAAAATCAACCATTTCTGGATTTCAGGAAGCAAATTAGCACAGCGGGACAACACTTTAAAAGCCAGTGTGATTTAGAACAGATTGCTAAGTCCCCACTAAGTAGTGGCTAGCAGATTGCTAACCACTACAATCATCTTAGATGGTAATGCAAAAATGGTTGTACTGGCTCTGGATGATGGGCACTGTAATCTGACACTCCTGGAGAAGAATAGATTGAGGAAGTTTGCTTCAGGATCAAAAGTCTAGGGAGGTGGAGGAAAACTGTACAGACATTTTTAGCCAGCTTCAGCACATCTTTTCAAAAACAAACAAACAAACAAACAAACCAAAACAAAAACCCCAAAACAACAACAAAAAAGGAACAATGCTAAATGGTCCCCATTTTGGGGGGAGGGTGGGATTAAAGATTGAGTTTTGGTGAACACTTACTGTGACATCTTTTGCTTTTATCTCTTTCTTGCCATGTTCATGCGTGTCTCAGACTTATTTTTCTGATAATCCTTTTCCAGGCCATCTATGTTACCACCCTGTGTCCATATGTAATTCTTACTGTGTTCCTTATTTATGGATTGACTCTTCCAGGAGCTCGTCAAGGACTGATCTATCTATTTACTCCTGATGCAAGTATATTTATATTATTGTTGTTGTTCATTTCTCATTATTATTATTATTATTATTATTATTATTATTATTATTATTATTATTATTATTATTATTATTGTTGTTGTTGTTGTTGTTGTTGTTGTTGTTGTTGTTGTTGTTGTTGTTATTGTTATTGTTATTGTTATTGTTATTGTTATTGTTATTGTTTCTCAGCATTCCTGGTTGCATGGGAGTGGATTAAAGGCCTAAACATTAGGAGTCAAGTCCTAAAAATCTGCAGATTAGATGAATAAGATGATATGTTTGCAAAATCACTGCTTTTTGGATCTCAGGAAATTAGCATCTATTGGCAATTGTTTTAACTCAGTAACTAATAATTTTGGAAACAACTCCAGTTGCTGAAAATAGTATAGGGATGAAAATGACCTAATTTTGCTTCCATGCTCTTTTAATTTGTTCCCTTAATGTTTTGTGCTCTGCAATTTTTGTCCTTTCTATGCTTTTGAAGTTGTTTGCTGATGGAACTCCAACTTTTCTGTAAAGTTCATTTTTCTTTGTTGCTTATCCAGAAGTAATAATATCCATCTTATTAAACTCAACTGTTTTATCTGTGATAGCTTACTTTTCTTGGATGCTGTCACAGTTTTAATGTACCCTCAAAAGCTTTCACGGCCGGGATCTGATGGTTGTTGTAGGTTTTTCAGGCTGTTTGACTGTGTTCTGAAGGTTTTTCTTCCTAATGTTTTGCCAGTCTCTGTGGCTGGCATCTTCAGAGGACAGGAGTTAGAACTCTGTGTTCTGGTGTAGTGTGGGGGATAGTTGAGTGTTTGTAGCTTTGGGATCAGCTTTCTGTCCTTTTCAGGAGATTGGGTGATTATGGTGATCAGGGTGAATACTGTTTGTAGGTTATGTTTTTTCATATGTTTCCCCATGTGGTCCGTGACCTCTTTGATGTCAAACAAACAGTATTCAGGCCCACCACAAAAATACAACAAATGTCACGGTCAACAAAGGACCATACAACAAATGTTACGGTCAACAAAGGACCAAAGGGACCCCCCTCACATCTGCAGGAGTATACCAGATACCTGGTAGTTGCGGCCAGGTATACATGTATATTGAGACCACAAAATACAGCATCCACACCAGAAACAAAAAACATGAGAGATACTGCGGACTAAAACAACTGGAAAAATCAGCAGTAGCTGAACATGCCCTGAAACAATATGGACATGAAATTCTATTTCAAAATACTGAAGCACTGGACAACACCAGCAATTATTAGACTGAACAGGGAAGCCATTGAAATCCACAAACACCAGCAGAACTTCAACAAAAAAGAAGAAAGTCAACTCAACAAAACCTGGCTCCCAACACTGAAAAATACAGCCTGCAAAAGGTCAACGAATTCTACCCAGCCACAAGGACTGGTGATCATGGCACACAAAAGACTAGCTAATGACACCCATCAATCGCAGTGACAGATCATCTCCCCCCAATCACAACAATACACCCATAACAAAAAAACACCTTGATCACCATAATCACCCAGGACAAAAAGCTGATCCCACAGCTACAAATACTCAACTTTCCCACACGCTACAACAGAAGAGAGTTCTAACTCCTGTCCTCTGAAAATGCCAGCCACAGAGACTGGCAGAACGTTAGGAAGAACAAGCTTCAGAACACAGCCAAATAGCCTGAAAAACCTACAACAACCATCTGTCACAGTTTTGTTTCTTAAAAGTGGAGGTGGCTGGAACCTATAATATGGAGGGAAAGATGTGGGTAACATTTAGCCAACTTCTGAAAAATGATATTTGCAATTTGTTTATGCCTCCACATATAATCTGTTGGTGGTACCTTAGAGCTTCTAGGTATGGCATGATGAATGGTTTCTTACATATATGACTGACCTCTTGCTTCATAATGATTTTCTGATCACTGAAAGTCTCAGTGATATCATTGTTGCTATTGTTGCTATTGTTGTTATTGAGATGTCCACTGAAAGTCTGACTCAACATTTCTTGATCTTATAATTTTTTGCTTTTTCCTTGTTTACTTATTCAGTCATAATCATGCTTTCATGCTATTGAATCTATTAATGTTTGGCTTAGGGAAGCTGGGGCAGATGGGTAATGTGAATACCTATTAAAGCTTGGATAGGCTAGTGGAGAAAGAGTTGTGGTCAGCACTGTATGGTTGTGCCCATCACCTGAAATGTATGAGCTGCAACAAGGGTTAGCAGATTTCAGGCATGTGAGCTCACATTTCTCTTTTAGACAGAGAAGGGGGCCTTATTTCTTGTGTTTTGGGTGTGAGAAACTTACTTCAAATCACCAAGGGTGTCGTCAACTGATCTTGATCTACCTTCTGCCTCTTTCTGAGAATTAGCATGGATTAAGCCTTCTGTCTGAGAAAACAGGCCCATTCCAACCCTTCAACCTCAGCACTGAGAGTGGAGAGGAGGAAGATGTACTTTCTGGCTTGCAGGAGCATTTCAGTCTTTTAGTTGATATTGGCAACTCAGGCAAAGAGTCATGATGCCTAAGTGTGAGGCCCCCAACAGCTCTAGTGTGAATTTCCTAAAGAGCTTGAGGTGCTTCTTCAATGGATCAGCGTCCAAGATTGGCATAAGGCTAGGAACAAAAAATGTTGTCAAGCAGCTGTAAGGGAGCATCAACAGATACTGGAGGAGATAAATGACCTTTCCATCCTCAGATTATCTCCTTGAAAATATCTTTCTTAAATCAGGGCCAAGTCAAACTATACTTTAGATATAACCTCTTATTGGAGCTGAAATCAAGTTACTGTTGAAAAGACATGATTGAGCAGCCTTTCATGTCTGAGAAATCATATTTGCAAAGCAGGACCATACTTATGACCTGAAGACCAATCACAAAGCAAAGCAAACTAATTTATAAATTACAGCTGATGAGAAAAACTCTTGCTGTGACAAGAGACCATGAGATTAATCATGTCCTTAGCACTGTCATCCATTTTGTTTCTTTATTTTACAGGTAAAAATCTTGAAGAATCCACGTGCATGGCTTGATGCAGCCACCCAGATTTTCTTCTCTCTTTCTTTAGCACTTGGGGGACATGTAGCCTATGCAAGCTACAACCCACAAAAGTAGGTATAATGATTTAGGCAAGTTCTACAGGTAAAAGCTCTTGTGCACAATACAGGGATTGCTGTTTTCAGTTGGCTGGTTCTCACAGTGAAAATCATTCCAATATCACAGTCCTCGGCTTGCCGCACAGATAGGGAGGGACTGTTGGTTCATTCTCATTAGGTTTTCTTTGAAGTGGGAAAGCTTACCTTTTCAGGCCAGATGCAAAAATGACACTCAATGTCGTATACAAAAAGGAGTGTGAGAAAGAGAAATAATATTTGTGTAAGTCAACATCTTCAGTGCGAGGTTTAAACCAACTGGTGGCTTCCGAATTAATACACCGTTGTGGGATACAGGTTGGAATGTCCATGTTGTGTGCCTAGACAACAGCAACAGTCCCATTGAAAACAAGATGTTGAATACTGGACCCTGGAATGTATACTTGTTTCTTCATGTTAATTTACACACTCAGCATCACATGTAAAACTAGCCTAATATGCTACTGTTTGTCTCCATACCCAGGTTAAAGCAGAAGACAACATTCTTATAACTGTCATAATTGTACAGAAGACAACTGTTGATCCGTTTTTTGCTTGACTCTTTATGGCAAGCTGTACCTGCTGTACCAGCCAGAAGCATATTGCTTCCTCAAGCAGAGCCACATTCTTCTCTGTCTGGCACACACGGTAGCATCGATGCTTTGAAAGCCTCAATGCACCATGGAGACCTCAATTCTAGCCTCAACTGATTCTAGCCGCCACCTCATTCATAGCTGCTTCTCCCTGTTGCATACGTAGCAGGCTGGACCGATAAATGCCCTCTTCTCCAAAAACCATTAGAGCACAGGTGGGCAACTCCACAGGGCCTAAGGGCAATTTTCCATTCCCAGAACCCACAAGGCCACACTTCCCCACAAACAAGCAAAAGTTATAAAAAATTCAAAATAGAGTGTACAGTATAAGAAATCAACATTTAATTTCATTTTTGTGGGTTTTGTGGGCATTGGGTGCTATACCCCATTTTACTGCAGAACAACAGCTCCTGGAGGCCTTGATTGTTGTTTTCTGTGCAGATTTTTTACTTAGGGGAGAGCACTGAGGGATTGTAAAAATGGCTCGGGAAGGCAGCATGCACAGCGCTCATCCTCATAACTGAGGATGCTTTCCCCCCTGCTAATAAGAAAAGTTGGTTTTTATTTGAAGCCTATTAAGCTGACAAAGGCTCGTTGACTTACGCATGCTCTGGCTTACATGGTGAATTAGCCCTGTGACTCATGCCCTGTAACCAGCTACCTGTATGTATTCATTGGTATGAGGATTCAGTGCTGTGGATTGTGGAGCTTAGTAACTTTTTTTTGGATTCTTTCTCTTAGAAATGACTGTGAAAAAGATGCTATTGTAATCGCACTTGTGAACAGTTTGACGTCTATGTATGCCTCCATCCCAATTTTTTCCATTCTGGGATTCAAAGCAACAACGAACTATTGGGACTGCTTGGATAGGTGAGCCATTTCATTCTCAAATGTTAAAGCCACGAACACATAATGGCTCCTCTGTTTTCAATCTGTTTTGTTTTTCATGAGACAGTATTATATATTCTTCTCTCATTATTTGGGACAGCTGGCAGGGGAGGGAGAGATGAATTATAGCCCTTCAGGTGTGGTGGGACTGCACCTCCCAGTAGCTCTAACCAGTCAGGATGGTGCCAAAGGTCTGCATCACAGATGTGAATGATCAGCATATCCACGACAGAAGGCAAGGTCCTGCCATCTCTTAAAGCAGTGGTCCCCAACCTTGGTCCTCCAGATGTTCTTGGACTTCAACTCCCAGAAATCCTGGCCAGCAGAAGTGGTGATGAAAGTTTCTGGGAGTTCTAGTTCAAGAACATCTGGAGGCCCAAGGTTGGGGACCACTGTCTTAAAGGAGTTGAAATCAAACCAGCCCTGAAGAAGTCATTGCCTGAACATTCTGATGGAAATAATTATCACTGTGTTTCCAAGTTACCATTTTTTGACTAAGCTAGTTGACGTGTGTTGGCAATCTAGCCCTATGTTTTACTATGTGAAACAGCAGATTTGGGTCCTTTCTAATCAAGATTTATTTTTGGGATAGTGCATCAGTTTTGGCCACCCTGCTGGATGACTTGTTGTGAGATCAATTTATGGAAATGTGATTGGATCTCTGTGGCTTTTACCACCACTGAGCACGGCCTGCTTCTGGATCATCTGGAAAGGGATTTAAAGAGATACTGATTTGAAGTGGTTCCCTTCCTTCTTGGAAGGATGGTTTTAGAACGTGGCGTGATGGATTCTCTTGGCTTTTTGGCATACAGGAAGTGGCAATTGTGTTTGTTCTTAGTATTTACATTTATACGGTCAAGGTCATCAATAAGTACAGTGAGACTACTGGATCTCCTATTTCTGCTATCTGATCCCAGGCAGCCAGTAAAAGTTTTCACCACATTTCTTGAAACAGTTTGGGATTGGATCAGGTTGAATACACTCAAAATTAATCCAGCCATAATGAAAGTACAACGACTGGGGGAGCTAGTGAAGTAAGAACTGGAATAAAGTCCATTTTGCATGGTGTTACACTCCTGCTGAAATAGCAGACTTGCAACTTGGTATATATTCTTAGATTTGTCCCTACTACTTTATGTTCATAAGGTATTGGTGGTTAGAAGTGCCCACTGAATAAGTGTATGTAGTCTGCCATCTGAGCACCTTTCTAGAAAAATCTGCTCTCTCTTTGGTCACTGCTGTTCAAGTTACTGGACTAATATAGTCTTCCCCAGCTTGAGTATGTCCAGATCAGGGAATCTTCTCTCTTGTTTCCTCGTATCATGTTGGACTACAGCTCCCAAAATGGCTGACTGCTGATCATGCTCTGGGGTGTAAATCGAACATAAAGGGCAACCGTATCCTAAATATTCAGGACAGTTCACATCATGCTGGCTGGGGCTGATGGGAGTTGCAGCTGAAACTACCTGGAGGGAGCGTGGTGCATTATGGGAAGATATCCTAGGAATTTTCAATAGATCAAAATGTGGCTGCCAGGATTTTAAGTGCTAGCAGGAAGAAGGATCATATTACACCAATTAATTACCACTTTCCAATATGCACATGTAAACCAAAGCAACCTGGTCCAAGATCTCTCCAAAAATTGCCTTATTCTGGGGTGGAGAATATTCCTCCTTTAGATTTCTTCCCCTAAAAGATTAGTTTCATGTTTCTGTAAAACCTGAGGGTTAGCTATAATCTGCTGGTAACTCCCTCTAGTGCATGACTGGTTCGATTTTTACTTTATACACATGATACTCAAAACAATATTAGTATGTATGTAGATACGTACTACTGTGACTAATCATTGTTGGCCATATTTCTTAGGAATGATACCTATGCAAATCGTTCAAGTCTTACTTGATTTTCCTGACAGAAATATTCAAGACCTCACCAATGCATTTAATGTGCAGAGTCCTATCACAAGAGATAATTATACTCTTTGGTATGAGGCATTGAAAGTATCCTCCCCAGCAAAAGTTGATCAGCTGAAACTGAAACAATGTGATCTTCAAAATTTCCTTGATCAGGTATTGCACTGATTATGAGTTGTTTGTATGGACTGTTTTTTTCCCCAATGCACTATTTCCCCTTTTAACTCACTGAGCTCTGTGTTTGATATTTCTCATTAAAATCTTGATCATCTGTGGTTGGGATGCAAAGAAAAACTTTAGGATTTGGACAAGCCAAATGTTTGTGTACTAATTATTTGATTCTCTGTTTTAAAATGAAACACAACACAAACACAATGAATTATGTAAAGACTCGAAATTTTAAATCTGGTAACAAAAGGAACAGCAACGGTACTGTGAACACAGCCCAAACTGGATGCTACCAAAATAATTTTTAAAATCCCCAGGTACCAGTACAGGAGTTCTTGGGGGGTAGGGGAGGTATTGTAAAGTTGAAATATGTCAAGAATTAAATCTTAAGACGTGAGTTACATTGAATAATCAAGAATTTGCCACTGCGACATACTCAGGTAGCATTTAGAAACCAATTTAATTGCAAATCTGTCAATTTTTAAAAAATTTTTTACAGAGCGCTACCGGAACTGGCCTGGCCTTTATTGTCTTCACAGAAGTGGTGATCAAGATGCCCGGATCCCAAGCTTGGGCAGTTCTGTTTTTTATCATGCTGTTCAATCTGGGCCTGTCTTCTATGTTTGGACTTATTCAAAGTATCTTGACTCCTTGCACTGAGTTTGAAATTGTGTCTAAATATTTACCGAAGGAGGCTACATGCGGTAAGGATGGCCTCTAAAAGCTTTGGTTTTTTCTTTCTTTCTCATTCTCTTCCTCTTTCACAAATTCTTTGCTGAGCTTAAAATGCTATGTAGTGTTATAGTTCTTTAGTGTTTTCAGTGTATTTCACATATATTGTTTCAGCAACCCTTAGAACAACTTGCAAGATCAATTAATATCAGGTCACCTCAATGAGCTCATGACTAGGGCTATGTTTGAACTGGGGACACCTCGAATTATAGTTTATTTTATTCCCACTATGGTTTATCATATATTTCTGGTGCATCACTACTTTCCAACCCTGGCTTTCTATTGTTGAGCGACAATTTTCTTATCATCAGCTGTTGTGAGTGGGGAAAATCTAGCAACATCTGGGGCTCCAAGTTTGGGAACCATTGTTCCAGACTGATGGCATGTACAACAAACCAAATGCCAGAAATACACTCCAGTGTTGTCACCTTCTTGTTTGAAGAGGTGTGGCTAAGCAATTTATTCCATGCACCCACCCTTTTGGCCAGATGCATGCCAACACTTCGCTAGGCATCCTGTTTTTTCATGCTATCATGTTTCGGTGTTATTCAGTCATCACAGGTTTGACAAGAAGAGTAAGGAAAGGGCAGAGGGATGGAGACCCACAGAAAGCAGAGTTATACATCCATTCCAGTATTATACAGTATGTAGTTATATAGCAAAATCAGTGCCCATTTACCCTGGAGGTCAGTAATAGAAATTCTGTTTGATAAGTGGGACTGCACCCTTAATCTTTTATACTTAGGGTATGGGTAACAGGGCTTGAGGAGGCCTCAGAACAATGTGCTAGGCTGAGTAGTAGTTTTGAAGAACATAGCATCAGACAAGCATAGATACAACAGGACTAATGTTAAGTACATGGATACTGATTTTTAGTTTTTTTTTTATTAACAGAATGAATACACTTTGTCTTCTCTAGGTATAATATGCCTTGTTTCGCTTTTATTGGGCCTGTGTTTCACCTTGAGATCAGGGAGCTACTGGCTTGAAGTATTTGATGCATATGTTGGATCGGTGCCTTTGCTATTTATTGCTTTCTTTGAAGTGATGGGAGTTATATTTGTTTATGGAATGAAAAGGTAATGTGACTGTTGTATATGGGTGTCTGGAAAAGCCCTTAAGTATTGGGTTAACATTAACAAATCCTTAAGATCAATAATACAGATATATAGTGCTTAGTGTATTCAGCATGCAAATCAGTATTCAGTGGCTGAAATCCTGTTGCTTAGTCTAGTAACGATGTAAGCTGCCTTGGGTCCTTTTTAAGGTGGGATAAAAATATTTTAAAGAAATAAATACTAAGTTCAATTAGAGTAGGCCATTGATTCATTGGGGATTTGGTGACTCTCCTCCTCTATAATTTCCATTGATTCAAATAGGCCTAGTCTGGTTGCAACTAGTTGTGTATTGCTACTAAGTGGATGTTTTGGCAAATGCATCACTGCTATAGGTGAAGAGTTAGTCAGAGTAGAATTGCCAAAATATACCATCCTGTTTGCTGATGTAACACATGGTAGTTGTGATGATTGTTACTGCTTGGATCGCTTCGCAATACAGTACAGTTTCAAACGCCTGAAGAGTTGCACTTCCATACAATCCAGTAGCGGTTTCTACACAGTTTCCAGCTGTCAGTAGCTGGAATGACCATATCCACATCAATCTGCAGTGGTTTATGCACATGTATGGAAGTGCAGCCTGGCAAAGTGTGCTACTGCCATGGTAGAAATCATGAGGTCAAAGAGCTTCTGGATGGTGAAAGCTGAGGAGTATGGTTTTGTAGCCACAATACCAATTCTGCTATCCTCCTGGCTTTGTCTGGAGAAAGATTGGCTCTCCCAGTGGTGATGTGCAGGCATGCCCCTCTGTAATCTATAGTTTGAGAGAAGCAAAGCTTGGACTTTCTTGTGAACCACCCATAGCCCAAGATCTTGAAGGAGGACGAGGACAGACAGATAATTTCCCCACTAGTAATCGTCTATATAAGGGAAGACCATCACTCCTTTTGTGTGGAGTGCTGTCAGAACATTTCATAAAGAAACAGCCTCCCGGCTGTTACAAGCCCTAAAGTTAGCATCCTGAATTGGCAAAGTTTCTGACCAACAGTAAACTGCTTGTACTGTCTATGGGATGGCTAGATGGAAATGTGGAAGTATGCCTCTCTCAGGTCCATCGATGCAAACCATGCTCCTTTGTGAAAGAATGGGAGCAGGGTGGTGAGGACAACCATTCAAAATCACCTTGGATAAATAAACTAATTGACTGCATGGAAGCCCAAGACGGGTTGGGGACTGTTGTCCTTGGGAACGGTGGAATACTAGGACAGGAATCTGGCATGATGACAGTGATGCGGAATCCTTCCAATTTATTATTCATTTATGTAAAATATTTTTACCCCACCTTTCTCCTTAAAGGGATCCATGGTGGCTTACATAATTAAAAGGACAATATTTAAAAGCTAAAAACAATAAGTATACAAGTATCTTAAAATAATTAAATAAGTATTATATTAAAAACAGTAAATAAAATCAATACTAAAAACACGTTTAAAAGCAACAACCCCAAACCATCCAATTAAAAAAAAACACCCATCTGAGACTGCCAGTCACTAAGGAAAAGCGTGTCTAAACAGAAAGGTCTTTGCCAGCTTGTGGAAGGACAGCAAATTTGTGGCTAGCCTGGCATTTTTTGTTTCATAAGGAGGTGATATCCTCTCTCAAAGGAGGGGTTGGCGATGTGACTCAAAAGATCCCCAGTGATGGAATTTTCAAATTCAATTGCATGGTCATTCTGGAATATGGTAAAGACTCGTACATCATCGGTGATGGTACAGACGTAGTTGTAACATATGTTGGAGGGTGGTGTTGAGGTGCCATAGAGTCTTTTTTTTTTGCTAACAATATGCATCACAATGAATGCATATGAAAAATCAGCAAGCCCCAGAATTCTTACCCTGCATGAACCTGTGAAAAAGCCATTAAAAAAACCAAAACAAACAAAAAAGCATTCCTTAAGCTATCTTCCTGAAATGCTCATTTAAATTCTGAAAAATTCCTCCTCACAGGTGTCATGATGAAGGGTTCTTGACCCATGTTCTCCCTGATATGGTGCTTTATTTTTAAATGGGAGAGAATTTTATATGGAGGATCATTCAGTAAGAGTCTATTTTGTCTAGGAAGGTACCCTCAATTCTGGCTTACTACTTTAGTGAGTACTATGAAAGAGGAGAAGGGGACGACAGAGGATGAGATGGTTGGACAGTGTCATCGAAGCTACCAACATGAATTTGACCCAACTCTGGGAGGCAGTGGAAGACAGGAGGGCCTGGCGTGCTCTGGTCCATGGGGTGATGAAGAGTCGGACACGACTAAACAAAATCCTGGATCTGGAGGAAAAGTTTAATGACTGCCAGGAAGAAGTGTCATTAGAAGGGGACGACAGAGGATGAGATGGTTGGACAGTGTCATCGAAGCTACCAACATGAATTTGACCCAACTCTGGGAGGCAGTGGAAGACAGGAGGGCCTGGCGTGCTCTGGTCCATGGGGTGATGAAGAGTCGGACACGACTAAACAAAATCCTGGATCTGGAGGAAAAGTTTAATGACTGCCAGGAAGAGGTATCATTCTCCTCTAAACCAAGAAAACCAGCTCCGTAGATGAATTAGCAGTTTGAAAGAAACGCCCCCTTGAGCCATTGAGGAAGTTATCATCGCCCCCCTCCCTGAGGTGATATCTTACCTACCTACCTACCTAGTCTCCCTCCCCACCCGGGTGCGAGGCAGCGCTTCACGGGGCGAAGATGAGAACCCAAGAGACCCTTTCTTTCTACCCGATCCACACTCAGTGCTCCCCTAAAGGAGAAAGGTGAGACGTGGCAGGTAGAAAGAGCTGAATCATCTGGCGGCAGTAGAAGCACTGGATCTACTGTCAGCGCTGCGGCTGGAGTCACCTTCACAGGTTTGGCTCCCTCCAGAAGACAGGAGGGCCTGGCGTGCTCTGGTCCATGGGGTGATGAAGAGTCGGACACGACTAAACAAAATCCTGGATCTGGAGGAAAAGTTTAATGACTGCCAGGAAGAGGTATCATTCTCCTCTAAACCAAGAAAACCAGCTCCGTAGATGAATTAGCAGAGAAGATCAAAGGGGAATAGTATTACCTCTCCCATCTTCCTCTGTTTTACCGCAGCAAAGCTTCAAGGAACCCATACTTCCATTATTCAACCAAGTGTAAACTAACATATCTGGTAATGTGTGGAAAACAAGAGTGGTTGCCACCTGTGCACAAAATAGCTTTCGCCATGCTATGCCATGCCATTGGAGGACATGAATATAATCAAACAACAGCACAGGACATTCTGTACTGTTTTAGTGATTTATGCAAGACATTAAGCAATGAACAATACATATATGAATAGACAATGTACAGGAATGAGAATCAATTATGCATAGATTTGTCAGTAACTGTAACCAATCTGATACACAGGTTCTCTGGTGATATGGAATGGATGACAGGACGGCCAGTCAACATCTTCTGGAAGGCATCGTGGCAAATTATCAGTCCTGTGTTAATGGTTTCAATTTTTTTGGCCTCCCTAGCTGTTCAGAAGCCACCACGCTACAATGCTTGGAACCCAAACTACGTATGTTACGCGAAGGCTTTCACGGCCGGGATCTAATGGTTGTTGTGGGTTTTTCGGGCTCTTTTGGCCATGTCCTGAAGGTTGTTCTTCCTTCAAAAGATCAACCTTCAGAACACGGCCAAAGAGCCCGAAAAACCCACAACAACCATACGTATGTTATCTTTATATAAGTAATTTGTATAATTTATTTTAGATCTATGCTCCATCTTGTGCACACAAGGCCCTAAATCAGGCCTTTTTTCAGGGTTTTCCAGGTAGAGAATGTTCAGAAGTGGTTCCCCATTCTCTTCTTCTGGGGGCATCCTGGGACTACGCAGTTTGCTCAGGGCCACGCAGGCCGGCTCTTCTGGGAAGCACAGTGCGGAATTGAACTCCCAACCTCTGGCTCTGCAGCCAGAGACCAAAGCCACAGAGCTATCCAGGCAATGGCCAACCCCTCTAAGAAGTCCTAAATGAAAATTGGGACCACCCCCCCAAAAAAAACTTTAGTTATCAGCTGATGGGTTCTGAGCTGTCCGTGACGGATCAGGAAAGAGATCTTGGTGTGCTGGTGGAAAGCTCAATGAAAGTGTTAACCCAGTGTGCAGCAGCAGCGAGGAAGGCCAATCCCATGCTAGGTCTCATTAAAAAGGGGATTGAAAATAAAGCAGCCAACATTAGAATGCCATTGTACAAAACGCTGGTAAGGCCTCACCTGGAGTATTGCATACAGTTCTGGTCGCTGGACCTTGAAAAAGGCATAGTGGAACTGGAAAAGGTGCAGAGGAGAGCAACTAAAATGATGATTAGGCTGAGGCACCTCCCTTACGAGGAAAGGCTACAGCGTGTGGGGCTCTTTAGTCTAGAGAAAAGGCACCTGAGGGGGGACATGATTGAGACATATAAAATTATGAAGGGAATGGATAAAGTGGGTAGAGGGGAGCTTTTCCCTCTCATGCAATACCAGAATTGGGGGACATTAAAGGCATAGTGGAACTGGAAAAGGTGCAGAGGAGAGCAACTAAAATGATGATTAGGCTGAGGCACCTCCCTTATGAGGAAAGGCTACAGTGTGTGGGGCTCTTTAGTCTAGAGAAAAGGCACCTGAGGGGGGACATGATTGAGACATATAAAATTATGAAGGGAATGGATAAAGTGGGTAGAGGGGAGCTCTTTTCCCTCTCATGCAATACCAGAATTGGGGGACATTCTCTCTAAATTTAGTGTTGGGAGAACAGAAAAAAGAAAATATTTCTTTACCCAGCGTGTGGTTAGTCTGTGGAACTCCTTGTCACAGGATGTGGTGGCGGCATCTGGCCTTGATGCCTTTAAAAGAGAATTGGACAGATTCATGGAGGAAAAGTCCATCTCAGGTTACAACAGCAGGGCTCTTCTTATGTTCTTATGCAAAAGAGCCATTTTGTGTAGAAGAACAAATTTGAACAATAGTCTTTGTTCACAAAACCCAAAAGTCTTCCCTTTTCCTTTTGAAATTTTGTAACATTTTTCTTACTTCCCATAATGCCATAACAACTGAGCTGGATTTCATGGAATGTATTTGTTTTTCCCACAGGTAGATTTTCCTTCAAAAGAGCCAAAAATTTATCCCACGTGGATTGTGTTTATCTGTATGATGCTGACAATTCTGCCATGTTTATTCATTCCTGCTGTAGCCATTTACCATGTTGTGAAAGTTATGCTGAGAAAGAGACAGCAAGCACTCCATCCTTCAAACATTTCAGTCACCTGAAACTTGGTTTGCTTTGAGAATTTGGGTCATGCCAATTATGATGACCATGAGCAAAACAAAACAATATCTATTTTAAGGTATTCTACGAGAGTTAAAATGTGAGATTTTCTGTGTTACGTGCTTTCACAACTTAAGAGAAAATAGTAAATATATTCTAAATAAACACAGCTTTTATACAATATTTTAGAATTTTCATGGTGTTCATGTACATATTTAAGGCACTTTTAACCCTGTTCTTCCATTGAAGATACTCCCAAGAGGGTTTTCAGAAGAAAAACTGGCGGGTTGGGCATGGGGCGAGTCCACATCTCTGAACCTTGCAGTCTAAAAGACATGGCACAAAAGGCAAAAGGGATGGGGAGGGGAGAAGAAAATAGGCACAGGCACACACCGCCTGCCTGATGGAAGGGCAGCTAGTTTTTCAGCAGAGCCAACAAAACAGCTCTCCTTCACTTTTGTGCAGCTGATGTGATAATCATCTTGTACTCCTTCCAGTGACCAGCACTCTTATCTGTGCACTGCAGTTGTGATGCTGAGATAGTTGTAATGGGGTGACATTCTCATGGACGGCTGACCCTTCTAACGGAATCGGAATTATCCAGTTTCAGATGCAGGGCTTCAGGGACCTTTCTGCCACTACATCTTTCAGTCCTTCCTTGGCAAGGAGGGGAGGGTGTTCTTATCCTCACCAGGCTTTCTCTCTCTGTGTGTGTGTGTTTGAACAATTATAATGAAAATGGCGAACAGCATAAAGGAGGCTCAGTTAGGAAACCTGCCATTTCAGAAGGAAAGTTACAACAAACTGTGTGAATAAGTCTTGATCCAACCCAGTTTTTTCTGTTTCCTTTTTATAATCACATCTGCATTTTATTGTTGGGATTGAAAGGCAGGGAACAAAATGATAAAAACCTGTTTTCTAGTGACGGTAACTCATGACTGGTTTTCTTCATTTCAAAACATGGAAATATGATTCATGTATCCTATAAATCACATTTTGTAAGGTACAGAATATTGAACAGAATGTGACCCAGCTGCAATGCACTGCAGTTTTGGGAAGCTTGTTCAAGGAGGACAATTCATTTGCCAAAAATGATCAGCAGCCATACTCAGATGAAGCTACTGTAACTGGAAAAAAGACTAGGCTATCATGCTGAGGAACAGTGTTGTATTAAATGCGACAAGCATGCCATTCATATTCTGTATAGATGATTTAAGGTGCAAGTAAGTAAGTCATTACTAGAATGATGGGGAATCCTGGCAGAATTATTCCCCTTCCTTCCCAGCTATCATGGCAAATGAAGCCACTGATATGTCAGAAAAGCACTGAGGAAGAAGCCAGCAGCTCCTCCACTGTCACTTTAATAAACACCATAAAATTAAAGCAGAATCTCAAAACCCTTACGCATGAGTGCATATTCTAATCTTAGGATCATCTAATACCATCACATAAAATGTTTGAGGGCTATGAATGTTTGAGGACAAGTCCCTAGCTACACTGGCTTGTAAATTACTTTCTTGCTGATAAGCCACGTACAATGAAATAATGGAGTATCTTATGTGAAAATAATGAAATGCATTATAAGACTTCATGGTTTTCAACAAGGTTTAAGAGTTCACATTTTCAACTACCAAGAATGATAAAAATAAAATATACAACGTAGTGCCATGCTTTTGTAGATTTTTCAAAAGGCTTAGAAAAAATATATAGGAATGTGTAAACATAATTCATTTTAAGCCACCACAGTTAGCTCATCATATCTGGATTGTAGATTGTAGATAAATTGTATTCCTTATATCTGTACAAATTCTACATCAATATTTTACATAATTCAGAAGTGTATGTTATTTTCCTTGCATAAGGAAATACTTTCAAGGAAATCTTCATGCTCGTCAACTAATCGTGGAAGTCAGCATACACTGATTTCTGGGAAAGAATACCACCTTGTAGGCATCTATTTAAGATACATACTAAGAACACTAATTTCGGTATTTGTTTGACAAAAACGAGGCAGGAATTATTTCACAATTTATTTAAAGTGTGACTGCAGTGTCCATTTTCTCCCTGTATGATCAAAGGGATTAGCCACACTTTGATTGAGGAGAAAAAAACACAGATACTGAAGTGGTTTAACATTTCATTGCTTAGTGAAAATGGCAAAGCTTTATTACACTTCCAGGTAGCCTTAGGAGAACTTACTGCATGAACATATTGCATGAAGAGGATGAATTGGAGTTTCAAGAGGAATGTGGTCACAGGCAATTAATCCAGAATAGCTTTAAAGTCTTCATATAGGGATGGTTCTGTCACTTCTTTTAGGAACTGGACAGTAGTTTCTGGAATTTGCCGAAGCAACCGTTTTTTACCTACAGAGATAGAGCCATTGAATATTAACATTAAAGATGTGCATGGCAAAAAAAAAAATCATATTTCTTAAATTTCAGGTTCTTTGGGGGAGTGCCTCTTTATTTTGTATTTTTTTTCTGCACTGGAAGTTTTTGCAGAAAAGAGAAAGATCTTTTAGGTCATTCATTTCCTCCTTCCCCATTCTTATTTTCTGGCATTCCAAAGCTCTTTAAAAGACCACACCAAAAAAGAAGAGGTCAATCAATAGGACACAAGAAAAATCATAATCTGATATATACAAAAATACTTCACATTTTGTTTTCATGTCCTTACCCATAAGATATGGGGCCATGTATATGTAAATGGATAATTTTCTGCCATGCAACTGCAGTCTTATGTGTAAGGAACTGGACTTTGTTCACAAACGCTGATATTAAATTATAGCAGGTAGTCTTTAAAGTACCACAATGTTTTTGTCTTTATTTTTATTTATTTGGCTTTTGTCTAGACAAATCTACTCTGAGCTGCTTACAGTCCAAAAAGCAATACAATTAGAAACATCAGTTTTAAAAAAACTAAAACAAGCAAACATAACCCAAGATGGAAAAACCAGGGGAAGAATTTAAGTAATGTCAGGAGGGAAGGCCTGCCTGAAGAGCCAGGTCTTCAGTTTACTCTTAAAAACTCCAAGCGAGGAGTTTTCAGGATGGAGGATGTTCCAAAGGCGTGGCGGCCACCGCTGAGAAGGCCCAGTTTCTAGTTTTTTCCTTCCCCACCTCTCTCAGAGTTAAGCCCCTCAGCCGCCCAGCCTGACTAGAATGAGTGACACAGGTAGAACTAGGTGGAAGAAGGTGCTCTGACACGTATTGAGGTCCTAAACTGTTTAGGGCTTTATATGTAATCATTAGCACCTTGAAATCGATGAAGAATGTAATGGACAGCCAGTGTAAGGCGGTCAAAGTGGTGGGAAATATGATATTTTTTTCACCCCAGTTAGTAATCTGGCCACTGTGTTCTGGACCATTTGAAGTTTCTGCATCAATCTCAAGAGAAGCTCCACATAGAGTGCACTACAGTGGTCTAATCTTGAGACTACAAGAGCATGGACAAGTATGGTGAGTGCCCCAACATCAAGATAGGAGCTACACCCATTTACATCCGTCGAAGATGTAAATTGGCGTGGCGGACCACAGATGGAGATGGTAATTAATCATCACACTGCATATTAGATGTGTTGTCTCACCATGCACTCATGAAGAAAACCAAAAGACATGAACAATAAATATCGAAGGGGAAAAGTACTTACAGTGTTTCAATGGTGCAAGAAGACACTTGTAAATAACCTTGTGATTTGTCAGCTTAATAACAAAGGCATGGTAGGTGAGCCATTGTACCACTTCGTATGTCAGCACCACTGAAGTACCAGTAGAAGTAAAAGAAACATCTGAAAGGAAAACAAATCCACATATGAGTTTAATTAAGAGATTCTTTCCGCAATCTTGAAACGGTCTTTTTGGGAGGAGAGAAATCCACATATGAGTTTAATTAAGAGATTTTTGGGAGGAGAGCAATTATTTTAAAGTGTGTGTGTGTGTGTGTGTAAGAGGACACATTTTGCATTAGCAAAGGGAACATGTACCGTATATACTTGCTGTATAAGACTACCCCTTCTTCCGCATGCGTGCTTCTGCTTTGGCTGCATCATGGGGAGAGTTCCTTTTGCCCCTTTTGGTTCCTTTTCAGAGGTGGCAGCCATTTTGGAGAGGCGGCAGCCATTTTGGAGAGGCAGCAGCCATGTGGTCACATCTCAAAATGGCTGCCGCCTCTCTGCTGTTCCGACAGTCAGCTGTTCAGCGCTAGAGTCAGGCTCTTCCCAGGCTAGGAGCGGGGCACTACTGGGTCTTACTACCAGGTAAGTGACTTCGCTGGGAGAGCGAGGGTTTGCTAGACATGCACCCGGCGTACAAGATGACCCTCCCCCACTTGGAGATCTGTTTTTCAGGGCCAAAAAGTCATCTTGTACGCCGGCAAATACGGTAACTGATGCAAACCTTAATTAACCCTTGTTAAGTAAGACTTGCATTTGTTATACATTCCATTTTTATTTAAGCACATACACATTTGTAGAGTTCAAAAAAGTATTCTTAAATTACAAATCCAAGAACCTGTATGTTGTCGTTCAAAAATGTAACGACTAAATTCTAGAGAGGTTCTGTTACACTTAAAACAACAAAAAACAAAAAAACAATACACAGCACTGAGCTCATCCTAAACAAAAGAACTGTTCTTCCAGCTTCACTCCAGCCTTTGCCTGAAGGAGGAGAATCTGACTGTTGGTTAAACATCTGGGGACCAGAAGCCAGCTGCCTCCCTGGAGGCTTCTCCACCTGGCTCTCCTTTTCTTTGATGAATGAAGGGGTGTGTGTCTCTAGGCTTGGAACAGACTCATCTCCTATAAAATGTATCTCCCAGCAATAAAAACCAAGCGAAGCTGTGGGGAAGCATGAACAAAGGGGAGTGCTGCTGTTCTTAAGCCTTTATAAAACATGAAGCTTTGCCAAACTTTTAATTCTGAGATTTTGGTGTGGGAACTACTTCTTGGCAAGGCTCTGAAGATATAAGACTGCAATTTGGATTCTCCTCCTTTCCTTGGTGCCAGCTCTTTAAAGAGAGAAAGAGATTTAAAACTAACATGGGATTCCCAGTCATATGTTTAGATGAGTGTCCAGTCTGGTCTTTAAAATGGTTTTCTACAAAACAGTAGGGATGAGGTTTCTGGATTTCCAGGACTACAAATAGGATAATTCTCCGTTCTGTTCTTCTCAGAAAGAGAGCTCCCACTTAGCACTGAGATGAGAAGAGGGCATTTGGGTGGAGCTTTGACTAGTTAAGTCCCAAGCCTTCTAACGTTGGCCTTTTTGCCAGGCGCATCACATTCAGGTATCTGCAAGGTGCCTGAAGGGTAGGTAGAACTACCAGAATGGATAACTAAGCTATCTGTAGTCCAGGCAATCCCAAAATCCCATTCATTGGTAAGTACTTAGGCTCTGTGGTTGTGTTCCAGCTTCCTGCTATGTCACAATGGAAGTCCCCATGGTCAAGCTAACCTTCTTAACCTGATTCCATTTCCAGTGACAACATTTAGCATCATGTCTAGTTCATTTCTAAGCAAGAAAAATGAGTCAAAAACCCACTCTTAGAAGTAACTTTAGATTACATTTTTAGAGACATTTCATTCAGCCTACCTTTATTTTTAGTTTTCAAAACAGAGAAGCAGCATGAAGCGGTATCAGAGATTATCTTCAGGAAAAATCTGGGATTGCTCTTAATTTTTTGGTTAAATGGAAGCTGAAGAACACATGCATGGAACCTAGAATTTAAAAAATAAAAATAAAAGGCTCTTCATCACTTAAGCTTTACTGAAGTGCACAGGGGCTCAGCCTTACAAGGAGAAAAGAATCACTATGGTGCAAACAGTGAGTCAAATCAGACAGCTGTCTGAAAGAGGATGGCTTTGGCCATAGTGACACCTTGCTTCACTCTTATCCCCTTAATCCCTTGGCTTTTCCTAAAGATTATCTGTTTGCTTGGTCTCCCTTTCCTTCACAGTTGTTCTACAAAAGAGTGACAAGATTAAACAGCCAACCTGAGTGGTTTCCCATTACGCCCTAAGCCATTCTCATTTGGCCTTGACCAAAGTGCATGTTCAGTAACGATAAGCAAATGTTTGTAGGGAAGGGTGGTGGTGGGAAAATGAACTTAATTACCTTATCAGTATTTAAGAAAGTGGAGATGGGAATTGTGATGCATTGTGGGCATGGCTTTAAAGGACACAGGTTGAAGTCCTGGCAGATTTTATACAGACACAATGTTCCACACAAAAAAGTAGTTAATGAACTACATACTTAATGTCCATCTGTAGACAATAGGGTAGATGAAGGGAGCGGTTGCCCATAGTTTGGACTGAGATCAAATTAGTTAGGTACTAATCTGCAGCCTCAGTTTCAGAACTGAGCAGATCTAATCATTGGTACTAGGCATGGGGACAAATAAAAAATGAATTGTAATATTTGTGAAATATCACTGATTCGTGGGATATTTGTCCCTTCCCATTTGTTAGGTCCAGAGACCCCGATGAATATGGGGGATGAATATTTACTCATTTTTATTTGTACCATCATGCAGGCTGGCTGCAGGACTGGAAACGGCCAGCTTGACTGTCAAATGTCCCACTGATCAGTTGTTTGGTGAGACATGTTTTAATGATGAATTGATGAAGATGTCAATTTGTTGCTAATATCTGGTGCTTTGTCCATTTCGACAAACGACGAATCCTGACAAAGTACAATTTTTTTTCTGATTTATCCCCATCTCTAATTGCTAAATTCACATTAAAATTTTGCAATACAAATACACATTTTAGTATGGATGTGAATCATTGAAGCCTCTCACTCTTGACAAGAAACTAAGAAAAAAAATCACTCCTTTCTTCTCACAGAGAGATTCCTCTGTGGGAAGATTTTGCATGAAATCTCACAGGATTGTTCAGAAGTTTCCTGGTCATTTTTTTTCCTGGAAGAAAAGCCAAAATGCACATGAATATTACACCTCTTGCGCAAAATGGCATCATATCTGTCCAGGACTCACCTAGAAAGGGCACTAAGCTATATAAAAGTTGGCAAATTCCTATATAAAATAATGGGAAGGCAAACAAAACAAAACCAAAAAGGGAAAATGAGACAAGTGTTTCATTTTTTGGGGAAGTTGGGAAATCTCACTGAAGGGGGCAGAGTCTTAGTGGGGAGTATCATCATGGTAAGACTTGGAAAAATCATGAGTAGGAGAATTTTTGTAACCACGCATCACAATCCTGCTTTTTAGACTGAGTTTTTTCTTTATTCCTGCTTGTTTCATGATATAGGCTTCTCCAATCTCTGATGATTATGCACTGAATCCAAGGTTTCAAGCTTTGTTCCACACTTAGTTCCTTTTCTTTAAAATTATTTGATTTTGAACTGATATACGTTTCTGAGTGAAGCTTCTTTTTGTGCTATTCCTTACATGGGGAAGGCGAGGGAGTGCCAAAAGAGTAATCTATAAACCCTCTTGGTGACACATCTGTCAAGAGCTTGAGCCTTAGCCTTTTCAAGTGTGAAGACCTTCACTGATCTGGGTATTTGAAAATTGATCCAAAGGAAACAGCAGAAATGGAATATGGTTAGCAATATATATAGGACCAGGTTGACCTTAAAACTCAGGAGAGGGCAGGAGCAGGGAGGGCACCACCATTCTGGATCTAATTACCTGAGGCTGAAGATAATGAGATATAGGGAGGGAGTTTGCAGGAACCCAGTAACAGGAAAACAGCAGCATAGAAGGTGAGGCAGGGAAACTATTACACAAATGTAGTTTGGAACCCTAGATCTAATAGTACAACCTCTGTAGCTATGATTCACAAATGTAGTTTGGAACCCTAGATCTAAGAGTAGTACAACCTCTGTAGCTGTGATGGGGAAGGTAAAGCCCTTCAGATATTGTTGGACTGCTGCTCCTATGATTCCTCACTGCTGATTATGCTGATGGGAGTTGTAGTCAATCAACATTAAGAGACACATTTTATGTCCTCGTTCCTACTGAAACATCACTTCTAAATTTCCTCTTTGGGACAGATAAAATCTAAGTTACCTGTAGGGCACTTATAACTAGTTAAGAGGAAACTTGTTAACATATCTGTGTCTCAATTACTCCACTGAAACAGAGCTTAGAAAGAAAGGGTTTTTTTGGGGCTATAGCTCCCTAAATCTAGTAGCCAAGAAATCTAGCAACAAAAGGTAACTTTTCTAAGCTGTACACAAAATGAAATGCATTATAAGGAGAAGATGTAAAGCACCACTCAAGCAAGTGGCTCCAAACTTCCTGTATTAAAGAGGCAAAGTTCAGCACATCAAAGACCAATGTTGCAGGTAAGACATTTGTATTTGCCTAACGAAGAGCACCTTCCAGTGGCTTTTAATAGTACTGGTGCTTCTGAAGTTATCCACACATACCTGTAGGCTTGAAGCAGAAGTATCTTGTAGATATTAATACAGACTGTTCTTAGACTATTGATCTACATTGAGGGGGAGGAAAACAATGACATTAAAACGTACTGCTTTGAATGTTTCTCCAATATAAATAAATAAATAGAGTAAAAATTTTAAGCAATTAAGAATGAAAGAAACGTACTGTATTGTTAAAAAATAGATCAAATTAGTTCATTGGGAGTAACTATTCTATTTAATCCATAAAAACAAAATAAATTAAACCCCAGAAGCTTCCACAACAGTGGTGCTGGTTGGCAGGAATTCCTTAGACTTGACAGCACATCTGGATTCAGTCTAACTAGAAGGCTTCTTCCAGGCATTACTGCTGTCTTTTCTTACCTGTAAATCTACGAACAAACTGTGGCATTTCAGCTGCAGCACTGCAAGCAGTTTATTTCTCAGGCGCACACCCGCTTTGGTGCTAGAGTTGAAAGACAGGCTGGATCGGATAGATGTGCAGGCATAGCTGTAAGGGCAGACAAGATGGGAGAAGGGGAGGCGGAGGGCAGAACTTAACCAGCTGTTCCATCAAAACAATGATGTAGTTTAATTAGGATTGGACTGAAGTCAGCTTCCTTAATTTTTCATTATCATCACATATTTTTCATCCAACAGGCTCAATACTTCTGCTACAAACTGTTCAACAGAGAGATTCACTGGGTACTTCAGAGCTAGGTGGTCCTAGCAGCAGGCTTACAAGCAGTGATATTTCGGGTATACAACATAATCTCAGTTCATTTTCATTTTTTGAAAAAAAAAAAGAGGTGAGGCTGGCCTGAATAAGATTATAAATACTGCCTGTTTCAGAAAGATAAACTTAGATTAAAACGTATACAGAAAATGCCAATTTTTAATTAAGAGTTACGTAGATCAAAATCATGCTTAAAATGAAAGAAACAAATTAGACTTTAACTACATGGTTAAGTACACTTATGAACTAAAGAGGTAATACAACTGACAGGAGCAAGCACATAGACCGGCTGAACCTATTATTCCTTCCACTGCAGATTTGACACTGCCACCAATTTCATTACAGTATCTGCATTTCATTATTTTGTTAACTGAAATCTTTTCCATACTGCCTTCTATCCTATTTGGACTTGAAGGCAGAGGCATACAATTTAAAATTATTTCACCTTAATAAATAAAGAAAATAGCCTTAAAGCATCAAACCCCTCAACAGAGCTGTACACTTTACAGAACTATGCCTACAAGCAGCCCTTCTACTAAAGTTTATAAAATGCTAGGCATCCAACTCTTCTTCAGATGCTAGAGCTTTGCAGCCCCATGCGAGTTTGACAGGGGAGGGGACACAAGGGAAGACAATTCTAATACCACTGTGGTTCTAATAATTGGATCTAGTCCAATGGAAAGAGGTTATCTGAACTGTGCATAAGAATCCTCACTATGGGCAGGAAACCGGACAATAGTAATCTATATTGCCATACTCAAACAGAGATCAGAAAAGTTACTTTTTTGTACTACAGCTCTCAGAATCCCTATCTTAGCTGTGAAATCCTAGGAGCTGTAGTCCATAACAGTACCCATTCCAAGCTGTATTTTCAGTCACTATGCAGAACGAATGCAGGGGTAGGTGATCCATTTAGAGACCAGACCACTAAAGTCACAACTCTATTGCAGCCCACATCTTTCCTAACTTAGATTTAAGATAAACACCTGACAAAATCCATGTCATGAATTTTTGAACTCTTAAGACATTGGTGCGTGCTTGAGAAAGTGGACATCTGTTTCACGAAAGGTAGCAGATTGCATGATTTCTTTCGTGGCCTATAAAGTTATCACCTACTTCTGCATATGTGCAGTGGTGCCCCTCAAGATGAATGTAATTTGTTTATTTATTTATTTATTTGTTCCGTGAGAATCACTGTCTTGAAAAAAAAATCGTCTTGTGAGGTTCCCTATGGGAACCTTGCAAAACAAATGAAATTTATTCGTCTTGCGAGGCATCTGTCTGGGGGGGGGGGGGACATCTTGCAAAGCATGGCCATAAAAGAAACCGTCTTGCAAAGCACCATAGCAATCATAAAAACCAACTGTCTTGCGGGTTTTTCATGCCACGAGGCAATGGCTGAAGTCTTGCGAGTTGAACTGGCTCGCAATCTTTCATCACACAGGCCTCCAGAAACGCATACATAAAGTGTGACTGACCAGTTAAAAAATGCAGCCAGAGAAACAAAACGAGAAGATAATTCTTTCCCAAACAGAGCCGGATTAACAGGCATCTGTCAGGGAGGTTTCATCTAATCTCACGGTTCACAAACTGTACAGCTACTGCTCTGAAGGAAAATTTGAATTGAATAGTTTCAGTCCAATTGTCCTCAATTCACTTTTTGCCTCTAGCAACAACGTGGATTAGTGGAGAGAGTGACAATGCAGGACTCAGGAGACATGGGTTCAAATCTATTGTCCATCCAGACAGTTATTTAATTTCTGATCTAGGATCATGTTTGTAACTTTCAAAATTCCCTGTTTCTGTTGACTCACAAGAACCAAAATAAAAAGTATGGTCTTTTCTCACAGACCAGGAGCTTTAGCTCTGAAACTTGCAATCAGTCCCCACCAATTAGTCAAGCAAAACTCTAGCTGATAAATTAACCAGTTAAAACATGCACTCACAAAATCAATGCAAACACAATGCCTATCTACCTGGAATAATCACAGTAAACTTCAAGGGTTTGGGTATCAATTAACAATCCACACCATGGGATGACACCGTGAGCTGGTAACTGCTTGAACTCTGAGCATCCTGGGATGTCCTCATCAATGGGAAAATTCACCACTGTCTTAGCTGGATTTATGACAAAGCCATATTCAGGAACTCCCATGGCAAGAGTCCTACATTAATGCAAAAGACATGGTTACTAGTGTAATCTATTCTAATCTGATTTCTATTCTACTGCAATATGAAATAAAAGCCAGAGCAGATTTATGTATATGAAGGGTATTTTTGACTGTTTTTACATGCAGGATTATCAGGACTGTCTTTAGAGATTCTCTTTGTTCAAAGACAGGGTGGGTGGGGTGGGGAGAACAGGACCCCCAAAATAGCAAGAAGATTTAAAGAATTCATTCATTTGATAATTTTAATTGCTAAAATGTTTGAATTCCTCACAGAGAAACATATTTTTCATTATTTACAGAAATTAAGGCAAGCCTACATGTTTTTCCTACTTTGCAAAATTCCTTCTTCTTCTGTTAGTATGGAAGGAAATACAGTATATAGGACAAGATGCATCTCCTGGCCAGTGCACATGTTTGTTCAAGTATGCTGTCACAACTTCAAGAATGTTTGTTAAAATCTGCTTTGTTTTATTTCCCTCATGCATATTATATTATTTGGCTGAAATCCAGTAGCATAAATTATGCTGTGTAAGCCTGATTATGTCAGCTGTGGCCATATTTCGTTAATAAAACATTTCCTATCCCCTCCCCAAGATTCTCAGGCTCCCTTAGGATCTCTTTAGTCCTGGAGATGCCAGGATGTCTGAAAATCAACACTGCTGTCATTAGGCGTATGTAGCAAAACTTTACGTTATTGGATTTCAGCCATTTTATTGGCAGAAATTCAGTAATAAGTTGCAACTAGAGTAGGCCCTCTGAATCAGTGGAACTTACAAAGGGCTTGATTTACCAAATCCCCAGATTCAATGGTTCTATTCTAATTGCGATTTACTACTGAATTTCAGCTATAGCATTACATCATATCATACACCATGAGCCAGGATTGTCAGGAATATACATTTTTGCTCAATATTACATTCACCATTATATCTGAACTTTGGGGAAGTAACAACACATCATGCATTAAGATCAACTCTCCATGAAAATATGAAAGAAAACAGAGTAAAACAAAGTAGGGCTTATAGGTTTCTATAACTTTTACGCATAAGCAGGACTAAGGAAAACCGAAGTTTAAATAAAGAGGATTGAGTCGCCCATTGAAAACTTCAATTCTTTGTGTCTTACCTCAAAAACATTTTTGCTTGTGTTAAATGAGGCGTAACAAGCAAGAAATCATCAGTTAAACGCATCAACACTCTGCAATGTTAAACAAAGTGTTAAAGTTAGTCTTGAGAAGGACTGGGTTTCTACAGTAATGCCTGTTTACTTTTTATTTACAAAGACATTTCTAGAAATTCAGTTTCCCACCTCCTTTTCTCTCCTATTAAAAGAGAAAGCATAAAGTAGTTCATTCATATCCCACCACATATGAATTTTCTTGTCTCTCTTGAATAAAATCTACAGTAAGTAAGTAGGAGACGGCATTGTTGTTTTTGCCAGTTTCAAAATGATGATGGGGACAATTATTAATGAATCTGCTTGGATAGATGAGTTTGTGGCATTCCAGTTTATTTGTTTAAGACTTCTATGACACGAAGCTAATTTGTCTGGCATTGGCAGTTGAACAGAGAACATGCATGGGTAAGATTATTTTGTGTTTTTATGAAGGCTTAGAGATGCAAGGACAACAGGGCAGGTTTGTGGCGCTTCACCTCATGGATCTCAAAGTTCATCTGAGGACACTTGCAGAGGACATGTGATTTTTCCCATGTTTCTGGGCAATGTGGCCAATGAGACTGCAAAAATGCAACTGAACTTATTGTAACAAATTAAAATTAATTTCTGATTCTCCCACCCCCATCACACCTGCCCCATAAATCACAGTAAGCATATCTTTCATCCATGCATGGACCTTGACATGAAAGACAGTAAGCTTCCCAAAGGAAGGTACTGGGAAGAAACTGAGTAAATGGGAAAACATAGATTGAGGACCTTTCTGGAAAAGTCAGGCTTTTCTCAGTGCCTGGGAATGACTATCTGGAAGAAAGGTGGGGGCAGTTTCCGCCTGTAAAGGAATGGAAATACCATCTGTGGTATCTTTGGGGTGAAGGCTTTAAGGTTCAACTGGCTTGTTGCCTAGTACTGTGCTAACTGGGAAATTACTTTAGCTGTATGTGAAAGAGTGGGAGCAGAAACTATTCTAGTCTTCAGGAACATTTGAGAGAACCTGAAGCCTGATTGGCAGACCATCTCGAAAGATCTAGAACAGTGATGATGAACCTATGGCACGCGTGCCACAGCTGGCACAGAGAGGCCTGTCTGTGGGCATGCGAGCCATAGGTTGCCATCGAGAAATACCCGTCCTCTGATCCCGGATTTTGGCACTCCCCTCTGCTAGTGCAGTGGTCCAGCGGAGGTGCAATGGCGACCATTACTGGTCTAGCCCAATAGGGGATTGGAGGACCAGTAAGTATTTCTTTATTAATACAGTGGTACCCCTACTTACAAACTTAATCCATATTAGAATTAAGTTCATAGGTCAAAAAGTTAGTAAATCAAGTCAAATTTTCCCATTGGAATGCATTGAAAACCACTTAATCCGTATGTGCTGTTTTCTGTTCGTAGGTTGAGGCGCTGTTCACATGTAGAGGCATTAGTTCCCATAGGAACTAATGCAAAGCTGGTTAATCTGTACTCTACCACTACGGGGGCAATTTTTAAATTTTTCTTCTTCTTTTGACCTAAGGTGAACTTAGGTCAAAAAAGGGCAGGAAAGGTTTTTTTTTTTAATTTCAGTTCCTAAGTCAAGGCTCTGTTTGCAAGTCGAAGCAACTTTTTGCAAACAGAGCCGTTCATAAGTCAAATCGTTCGCAAGTAGGGGCGTTTGCAAGTTGAGGTACCACTGTACTGCCCATAGAAAAAAGAACAAGTATTAAAGCCTTGCAGTGCAGAAGCAGTTGTTTTTTTAAAACTAAAACCTCAGTATTCGGGTTTTAACTGCAGTGTTGGCACTTTGAAATAAACAAGTTGATTTTGTGTTGGTTGCAGTTTGGACACAGACTCAAAAAGTTCACCATCACTGATCTAGAAGCTCATGAATAAAGTATAAAAAAGAAGTTCAGAAGTTTCTTCAGTTGGCTTAGTTTTCACTTAGAAGCTATGCCCAGTTGTTGTTCTGTTATGCTGTGCTGAAAGAGATGCACTCTGTGCATACTCCGAGACTACTGATGCTGTACTACTACGTAAGTACTAGATAGTTTTGTTAGTTTTCTAATTTTCTTATGCGTTTGCTCGGTATTGCTGCTACCTGAGATGTTAGTTGATGGTTGCTCCAGAATACTTTTGATACCTTTTTGAAACCTTTTGAAACTTTTGCCTTTTTCACTCTCTTTAATAAACTATAAACATCTCTCCATTAAATTTCCTGGATTTTTGGATAAGGGGCATCTGTGTTGCTTAAACCCAGGTTTTGTTTCGAGCACCTACTGGGAGTTGGTAATTCTTGTAGATGTGGTGACAGTTCTACCTTGTAGGGCTGGTGTAAGAATCTTAAGCACTCAACCTTGTGGGGTATTTAGAATTCCCCGAAAGCACTTAGGTCAGGAGGTACCATAAAAGCATTTTCTCTAGCCACCATCATCCTACGCTCACCTGTTCCAAGATCAGCAGGGCAGGGGAGCTAAGTGGTTAGAGCAAAGCTCCCTAAGCCTGGTGGTCTGTCACAGGTACTTTTCACTATTTTTTTCAAAGAGGCCCACTGAAGATACCAAAAAGGATTCTTGATTGAATTGCCATGGCTATGCATTAAGAAATGGGAGGAGTCTCACAGACCTGAATGGATCTCTGGTGCAGGGGAGAAGACAGCCATCTCCTAAGTGAGAAGTGACTAACAAGAGTATAACGTCATTGGAGTGGGGAGGTTGATGGTCATCATGAATAAATCATACAGAAATTTTCAACATAGAATTAACCTCCCAGGAGGAACTCTCCAAATAACTCAGGGACAAAGTCTTAGCAATGGTTTTTAAGGCAGCAGGTATGTTATCTATCCTGTAAGAGAGGCATGTTGGCTAGTTAGAGAACAAAAAGAGGTTTCACCAGGAATTACTCTGTTTTGTTCTATGTATTTCATTTTCTTTATATGTGACAGGGGTCTCTGGTACTGGTTTGTATCAGCTCTCCTGTCTGGTACACATTAATAGAGTTCTCTCGCTTCAGGTTCACTGGAACAGGAGGCAAACTGGGTACATCAATGAAAAAGATGGCATCTGAAATTAAATTCATTTTCACTACTGCAGATGTCTTTGTTGACTGCTGGAGCAAGGCAGCCTTTTCTGGACATTTCCAAGACTGTAGAGTTCCCAATAATTCTTGGCCTTGGGCCATGTAGACAGATTTAAATTCTACATGCCATGTCTACCTGGTTGTCTGGTCGTCCATTTATTCTTTGCATCCAGCCGGGAGAGTTTGGCAAGGCTCTTCCTTGGCAAGGCTACATAACTGATGCTGAATATTTCTGAAGGGTGTTCGGGAATAACAAGTATGTTAAAAAAATAAGGGAATACTATCATACCCATCTTTCTGCACACCCTGCAGTAACTTATTCTCCATGTCTCCGTAACAGAGGTTGCAAAGCAGAGTAGACAAAATGGAGCCTTGTGGGATTCCACAGCGCTGGACGTAGTACCTGACCAACAACATGAACCAAACATTCAAAGGTGGTAATAGAATCACATAACACCGAGGGAGAATTTACTTGAAGGTAAAAAGGGAAAGCAGTGCAAGACATGTATTTACTGTAGAATGCAGATTTGTTCCTAATGGGTGGGTAGGGACATCCCTTCAAAAATGGGTAATATGATTTCCAAGCTAACATTTCTCTCTGCTTACTGTTGGCAATTCTCTCAGAGTCACTGAAACCTGAGTGGACCTTTCCGGAAGAGGACAACAGTAATCACAACACCCTGAGGCCCAGCACCCATTATTAGAAGGGAAGGGCCATAGCTCTGTAACAGAGCATGTGCTTTGCACGAATAAGGTCCTAAGTTTCAGTCACTACTTAAGAGGACCTCTGATCCATAAGGCTGAGAAAAGTCTCTGGCCTAAACCACGGAGTCTCATTTCCATTACAGTGCTTGCCTAGACAGACCAATGTTCCCAATCAGTCTAGATACACTTATTCCCATATTCTGCTGTGGCTGATTTCAAAAATGTTATCAGTCATTTCTAGGCTTTTGATTGACATGAATTTCTGACAAAAATTTTAAAGTCTTATGAAATCCTGTATTAGTATGCATTCAGTACACCAGACCGAAAAAGAAGCATTTAGAGACCCAAAAGCAGGGCCATTCCTACAGACTTTGATCTTTTCTCCTTGTCAGCTCCAATCACTTACAGAATTCTACTCTTCAGAAATACAGCCAATTTTGTGTATCTTAGTGACAATTATTTTTACTTACTGTATGCAAGTTTGTGGTCCCATTAGTCATTCCAGCTTCAGATTTTTCTACTGAATCCCAAAATATTTTTAGTTCTTTGGCTTGGAAGGCCAGCTAATTATGTCCAAATCAACATTTGTAAGAAAAATAACTCAACAGCCAAACGTCACATTCATCATTTTCTTCTCCAAATACTTTTCATGATTCCTTCCCAAGTCCAAGCAAGACTTCTCTCACTTTAACAAGTACTTGGACAACAATCTCAGCTGAGGTCCTCTAGAAGGAAAGGATCAGTCCTAACTACAGTGGTGCCTTGCATAGTAATCGCTCCGTTTAGTGATGAAATCGCTTTGCGACGCATTTTTTGCAATCGCAAAAGCGATCGCTTTGCGATGTTCCCTATGGGGGAATTTCCCTTTGCGATGCTTGGTTCCCTGCTTCAGGAACTGAGCATCGCAAAGCGACGATTTTCGGCCAGCTGATCGGCGGTTTCAAAATGGCCGCCGGGTAAACAAAATGGCCGCCCGCTGTGTTTAGGGACTGATTCCTCGCTTAAGAGGCAGCGAAAATGGCTGTGCTATGGAGGATCTTCGCTGAACGGTGCGTTTTAAGCCCATAGGAACACATTAAAGGGGTTTCAATGCGTTTCTATGGGCTTTTTAATATCGCATAGCGACGTTTTCATTCTGCAGTGATTTTTGCGGAACGAATTAACGTCACAATGCGAGGCACCACTGTACCTATTTTCCAAACATAGCACAAGGTGTGAGCTTCACTAAGTAAGCAAAGCTTTAACAGCCAGCAAGTTCCAGTTCTGATTCCACTTCCAGGGGAGCAGCTGTTCTTGTTCCTAAATCTATATATTTCTGCCATCAGGGGCCTCCATTTAATCAAGACCTCCTGGTCACATAAAGTCTCTTAAAGCCATACTCTTCTCTAAAATCACCTTCAGCTCATATGCTTCTAATATCTATATATATGCTGGTTGCATGTCCATGTGAATAAGGACAGAAAGCCTTACCTGCACCTTAAAAGATAAGAAATCTATCATGGCATAAGCTTCTGGTGAGGTGCACTCTAGTCCACAAAAACATAATAAAAGCATAATAAATGTATTAGGGATTAAAATATTACAAGACCTTCTAGTGTTTGTATACTGGATTCTAAAACTACCTCAGCTACTGATTGATTGATGGATTTATAGGCAGCTCCTGGCAATCCATTCTTTCTTGGTCTTATTCTCTTACAAGGACGGAAGAAAAATACAAGGTTCATGTGCCAAAGATTTTTTTTTGAGAAATAAACTTCAGAGGTCATTTGGAAGTAAGAAGAAGCAGCATGTCACCAGGCCAACCCCTTTGTTATACAAAAATGACGACTAATGTAGGGAAAAAAGAAAGAAAGAAAAGATAGAGAGAGAGGGGTGAGGGGATTTTACCTGTCCTTAATCTTCAGGATACTATTTTGGATAAACTTCAAAAAAAACTCAGCGAGGCTGGTATTGCTTTCTTTCAAAGAAACACTCTGAAGTGGGGGGAAAAAGTGAAACACTGGAGTAAGCGTGACAGAACTATTTTGAAGTGGTATCTTACAGTAAAAGTTTGAACACTGTGCACTTTCAGGTCGTCAGTGTCAACTATTTAAACAATTCCCCACTCCCACTACAAAGCACATTATACCTCCCACTGTTTATCCATGCTGGTCCCCAACAGAGGATTGGAAGGAAATAAGTATTGAAACCTTATGTTCAAAGAATTTCATTGTTTTGGAGGAAAAATAAAGTTTGCAATCAAGAAAGGAGCAGTCCATTATGTACACGTGTGTTGCCTCGCTGCCACCCATGAATGAATGAATGAATGAATAAAATAGCTTTTACACCTGCAGCAGGGAGAGTGTTCAATAAATGGGATCCCAAAGGCAGACAAACATCCCAACATACACCTGCAGCAGGGAGAGTGTTCAATAATCCCAAAGGCAGACAAACATCCCAACGTTTAGTTCACAGAATGCGCTGATATTGTTGGAAGTGACTGGGTGCAACTCAGCTGAGACTCAAGAAGAGGCAGGTCTTTGTATGAGGAAGAGCAGAGGACCTCCTCAAGTTTCCTAGATGGTCTTTTGCCTGGTCTGATCCATGCTGACCACACCTCAACCTTTGACTGCTATCCCCGGGGCTGCTGATGACACTTTCTTCCCTCTCATGCCTCTTTTTTGCTTCCTGACATCTCCAACCATGTTAGCTCAAACTAGGACTTCTACTACCTTTCCTATCACAACTGCAGATCTTTAATGAACATAAGCCTTCCTATTTTCTTAGACAACCATCTGGAGGTCATTTCTTTACAAAGGGAGAAGTGTGCTCATTGTGTCGTTCTGAGTTTCAAAAGCCTGAATTCAAAAGTTAACATTACCCCTACACTTCTGTATGTTCAGCCTCGAGCCGATAAAGTACGTAGCAAAGAACAGAGATCCATACAACCAAAACTAGATTATTGGCCTAGTATAAGACGTTAACACTAGATTCCAGACCATCTATGTGTAAACATGCCTCACCAAACATCTATGAATTTATAGAAGCAACAATTGAGTTGGCACCAGAAGAATGAAAGATCTTATCCCAAAACACTGTGCAGCTGTATTGCAGGCTTCCCTTGACTGACACGAGTGTCTGACAGCACCATCTACTGGCACAAAATGGTTAAGACGCCCACTCAATACCTCCAGGGAATTTCAAGACTCAGTTCAGGCCTAGATCAGTTAAACGTAAACGGTTACGGCCCTTCAAGGCAATATTTAATTATGGTAACCGAATGGTGAAAAAAAATGTAATTCTATATAATTTTCTATCATTCACAAATAAAGCAGCTAATACTGCTCTCCCTTAACATATGGGAGAGATCTGAGAATGTTTAGACAGCTCAGCTAGTGGTGTCCCATCAAGAACAGGAGATAAAACTGAACAAATTGAAAACTGTGTAACACAAAACATATAGAATTTTAAATAGGAGCACTACCAGAATAAAACGAGTTAATAGATAACCTTGAATGTATATGCTGCCTGCTTTCCATGTGGCAAAACAAATAAGAAAAAGAAAAAAAGTCTTGTGAGACACTTTTAAGACTATCAAGGTACTTTTTCCTTTTTAAAAAGTTCTTTTACTGTTAAATGAGACAACCTCTTTCCAAACTGTCACTGGGCAAAGACTGTGTAGTGTACCAGCTAACAGAGATGGGCGCAGACCGCTAGCCAAACAGGTGTTTGGTGGTTCCCAACCCTGCCTCCACTCAAGAGGCAGCGCCCCAACTTCCCTGCCCTGCGTCCTCCAGGTGCTTCCTCTGAGGGGAGGCAGGGCTGGGAGGTACCGAACACCTGTTTGGCCAAAAATTTTAAAAAAACAACAACTGGTGGTTCATGCCCACCACTACTGGCTAATAATGATATCACAAGCATATTTACTTAGAAATAAATCTCACTGAAATTTATTCCCTGGTAAGTGTTAATTGCTATCTAAGAGGATGAGGTTTTGAGCATCAGTACAATGAACATAATGGGTGGTTTAATGTAGGGATATAAATCTGCTAATTTTGTTATCACAGATGGAAATGAAAACTTTCAGAACTTTTCTCTGTCGGGCAAGAGCATAAGAATTTGGGAAAACTTTCTTTGCATCTCAGGACTTTTTTGTGAAAATTTTAGAGGAGGGTTTTGCTTTGGTTTTGTGCCAAATCTCGTATTTAGCATAAATAGCATATTTTGTAGAAGAAGCAACATAAAATACAAGATCTTCTGTGGGGGAAATTTTTTTGGGGGGGTGATGGTGTCTTCCTGCTAATATTAATGATGATGGAAGAGGGTTTGGTATTTTTGCTCTAATGCAAGAATGAAAAAACTTGCAGTGTCTGACAATTACTTTCAATGGGTATGAAGACAAAATATCCAAAAAGGACAAGAAAATCTATGAAAATTCATTAAATCCAGTCACAGATAAGCCTTTAATTTCTGTTTCTAGTGATGCAACAGGGGCATGGAAATTATAGTTTTCTGTCTTACAAGGCTGCAATAAGAGAAGATGCAATTATGTGAAGTACTAATGAAAGTCTCAAGCACTAAGCAGATTATCAGGGCAGAAATTTAGATAATATAAAAACATCAAGTGAGCTGTAAAAACACAGGTGGGGAGGGGGGAAGGAATGATTAATAGAAACATACCTGCTCAACTACTACTGCATTTCGCAGTGAGGTGACTTCTTGAAGATGATTAATAAACTCTTTCATATCAGAGATAAACTCCTTATAAGTAGATACCTGCAGATACATTCCAATTAAAATATGTGGGACTCTTGAATGGGATTTTTCCATAAGGTATTAGTGAGGCTAGAAAAGGGGGTTGTGAATCAGTGGGTCTGCTTTTTTTTATAACTCTTAAAGATAGTCTTCATAAAGATGATGAAGTCTAGGGAATATCTATGTACCTTATAATTTACCCAGTTTCAGTAGTTTGCTTTGCTTTTATGACAATGGAACATGACATCTATAAAAAGAAACCAAGAACTGCCCTACATGTCTCCTGTAATATCTTCGTATAAGTCCATTTCTTGTCCTTATGATAACGGCATAGCGTCGTATACTGTAGGTAGTCTTCTCGTCCGGAGAAAGAGCTTGCAAAATCACTTCTACCAGTTTATTGTGGGGAATGCTGTCATAAGCCCCTATAACATCAGCCTGGAAGAGAAACCCATCCTGTTATTACTTGTGGTTCTGCATTTGTATCAAAGTTACAAAAAAAGAAGAAAAGAAGAGAGAAAGAACTGCCCTACATGTCTCCTGTAATATCTTCGTATAAGTCCATTTCTTGTCCTTATGATAACGGCATAGCGTCGTATACTGTAGGTAGTCTTCTCGTCCGGAGAAAGAGCTTGCAAAATCACTTCTACCAGTTTATTGTGGGGAATGCTGTCATAAGCCCCTATAACATCAGCCTGGAAGAGAAACCCATCCTGTTATTACTTGTGGTTCTGCATTTGCATCAAAGTTACAAAAAAATAAGAAAAGAAAAGAAAAGAAAAGAAGAGAGAGAGAGAGAGACAGCTGAGCATTCTCTAACAAGAACAGAAATGTTCTGCTTAAAATGATAGTGATGACATACATCAGCATTAACATGCACAGTTCTTCACAAACAAGAACATCATTCCCTTCCTGAGAAGCTGACAATATACAATTGTAGATACAGAAAAGCTATAGAAAAAAGAAGCTGGACACTAAAATGGAAGAAAAATATGACTGACAGTTAATATTTAATATGTCTTATTTCACTAAAGGCGGAAAAAGTCCGCAGCCTAATGGAAAATGGGGATTTTCAGGGTGGCTTTGAAGGATGCTTCCATGAGTAAAACTACAGATGAAAAATGGTAGGGAAGGGAGAGAATTTCATGCCCCTCAACTAAGCTGGAGGAGACAATTTCTGCAAGACTTCCCATCCTTTGGCTGGAATTGGTACAACCACGGAAACTCACTAGGCTGCGTAGAAAATGTGCCTGCTACTGGGAGACATCTAAAGGTTCTGTATATGTTATAGGCAGAGGCATTCCTATGGCTGCAGGATATTTCTGTATGTGTAAATGCAAGCACATACTTGAATATTCATGCATACACATATCTATGTAGACAGCCCCATGGCAGTGGCAACTTCTACAAAATCCTGGGTGGACTGGATTTAAATTAGGTTGATTTAAATCGTAATTTAAATCATGATACAGGTTTTTAAACTTGGATATTTTTTTTGACAATTTAAATGAAAATAATTGATTTTTCAATTTAAACTGTGATTTAAAGCAATTGGTTTTTTGGAAAGACCCTTGATATTTATCCATCCTGGCAGAATCCTTTTGGGGCTAGCACATTCCAGCAATACTCTCTGCCATGTACAGTATGTCAGAGGGGCTTGTCGGTGCTGTCTCAGGTCAAGATCCCGTTTCTCATTGTGCAAAAGGTCTGCTCAAAGCAAAACTTAAGATACCTGGGTCTGAATTTTACCTCATACTAGTATGCAGCCGAAATTCTACTTTCAACCCTTCCTTTTCAAGGAAAACCTCTATGGGAATTGCCACAGGAATGCCTTCAGCCATGCCATGCCAAGATGCAGCACCACAAACAAAAGGCTTCCCGTTACTGAGTGAAATCATGCCAGGAAAAGGTTAACAGCAGGAGACAGGGAGTCAGTGACGCCGGCAAGGATGCTAATGCTTATTCATAGGCACTAATCAGGCTTCTTCAAAAACAGCACTTTTTAAAGCTCCTTTCTTTCTCTTTGCTCCACCATGGAGTTAAGACTTGCACAAAGCTGGGTACGCATGCAAGTCTCATGCAGAGACAGAGACCTGCTCGTGACACAAGAAGCCAAGAGAGCCTCACGGTTGTGAGAGACCTATGGAATGTGAGGGATCTATAGATGTGTGAGGGATGGCAGTTTCATTTACTACTCTGAAACGCTTGCATGCCTCTTGTTCAAAGTTATGCCTAAGGAGGAAGTCTTGTGTTGTTATTCTTGTCTGCACTATCCTTCTTTTATAATATGTGAATATATTGCACTCCTTTTCCCTTCATGAGAAACTTAACTGCTTCTTAAAGATGTAGCTTGCCAGGGCTTTTTTTTGGTCTGCATGCATACCAGAATTTCCCCAATTAAGAAAGGAGGATGAAAGCCATTAAGTGTAAAGTTCTCCCAGAGTCAGAAATGTATTTCCCATAACAGGAGTCTCTCTCCTGCCTGCTATAGAGAAGGGGGGGGGGAGGTGGTAACTTTGCCACCAAGTAAGTGAGGCCCTCTGTCTCTACACGGAGAAGAAAAGCCTTTATGGAAGCTCTTTTTTTTAAATAACTGGTATGAAAAAAAGGGAAACAACATATACGTTAAAATGCTGGCAAGCAATCTACAAAACTGGGTAGCCACAGGCAGACACAAAGGCAACATTTCCAGTGCAATCTTATGCATGTTTACTGAGTAAGTTCTGCTGTGTTTAGTGTGGATTGGTTCCTTCAAAGGGTATATAGGATTGTTTAAAAAACAACAACAACTCAAGAGAGGGGAAAAGCTAGAGAAAATATTCAGAACAATCAAGACCCTGATTTTCACATCATACCTTCACAAAATAGAATCTAGGCAATACAGCATTCAACTTCAAAACCTTCAAAACAAACTTCTTCCACACTGCATAGATATCATCTTTTCCAAACACGGAAGAACCAAGCAACGAGGGATTCTTTATTCGTTCATAATTAAGAACACTAAACAAGTTTTTAAGTTGTGTGTTGAAGTACTGAATCTGGGGAAAGATCAAAGAGAAAACAAATATGAAGTGTATTTATTTTTTAGCATGGTGGCAAAATATTTTTATACACATGCCCATTTAAAGTGATCAGTTGCTCTGTTGGAAAGAAGAGCAAGTTTTCTTGATTTACATGAAGGAGTTCGTAAAAAGTGAAACTGCTCTAAGAACAAAGACAGAAAATAACTGGAGTGCTTCAGTGAGAAAGAAAGTGGGAGACTTTTTAAAAAAAAAGACAATGTGGCTACACATATGCTTAGTGGAAAGAGATTAAATTAAACATAAACAGAAGGAAGGTTGTTAAGCAGAAGTATAGAGGAGTAGACCAGACCTGTAGGAACATGGTCACAAAGGCTAAAACTTAGGAACAGTGGGGGCTGTTTGCTCCTGGGCTAAAACTCTCAGAAGCCTTCACCACTAGCTGTGCTAGCCAGAGATTCTGGGAGCTGTAGTCCAAGAACATCTGGGGACCCCATGTTGGGAACCACTGATCTAGATGGCAACAACAAAATATACTGCAAAGAGATTCTACACTATCTTTTCAAATTGTTCAGATGGGCATTAAAATGGCAAAACAGGTTCAAATTGTTATACTGCTGCATGTCAAGACAAAACAAATAACTAAATCCCAACTTCACATATGCCCTGATGAGATCTGAGCTGTGAAGATGGACTAAAATGGGATATTGGCATCTTCCTGACAGCTCTATGAAAATATTAATCTGTTATGTGACTACAGTAAAAAGGACATTTCACAGTTAAACACCGAATTTAAAAAGAAATGAATTTTAAAAGAAATAAAATTGCTAATATTATAGTGCGCTGATTAAGTAAGATCGAATCCACGCGACGGAGTGTGCCCCCATTGCTTGTCCCAGCTCCTGCCAACCTAGCAGTTCGAAAGCATGTTAAAATGCGAGTAGATAGGTACCACATGGTGGGAAGGTAACGGCGTTCCATGTCTAGTTGCACTAGCCATGTGACCATGGAAACTAGAGACAAATGCTGGCTCTACGGCTTGGAAACGGGGATGAGCACTGCCCCTAGAGTTGGACACGACTGGACTAATTGTCAAGGGGAATCTTTACCTTACTTCTGGAATATTGTGTAGAAATCTAGCCACCAGACCTGAGAAAAGGATACTGCAAAACTAGAAAATGTGTAGAAAAGGACAACTAAAATTATCAAGGGACTGGACAATGAAAGCTAGTGGCTCTGATTTTGGAAGGGCAGCAGCACGCTTTGCTTTTGCTTTGCTTTTACTTCTGGAATATTGTGTAGAAATCTGGCCACCAGACCTGAGAAAAGGATACTGCAAAACTAGAAAATGTGTAGAAAAGGACAACTAAAATTATCAAGGGACTGGACAATGAAAGCTAGTGGCTCTGATTTTGGAAGGGCAGTGGATCAGCTCCAGGATTTATCTTGAAATTTAAATGAGCTATCTAAGAGACTGAACCTATTTTGGGGAAAGGGTTCAAAATCTTGGATAGCTACTGTAAAACCAGAGTAGAACTCAGATCCACTGCTTCCATGAAACTGGACTAACCAACATCCACCGGGACCACAGAGCTTGGCTACAACATTTGAGATTGTTTAACTTATGGAAAAGGAGAGACTTGACTGAGGTGCATCAAATTAGGCACAGTGTACGGAAAATATGTAGCAAGGTTTTCTCGCTCTTCTCATAATACTAGAAGCCTGAGTTGTCCAATGAAATCGAATAACGGTGGAAGCTCCAGGGCGGATAAAAGGAAGGGTCACCTACCCCACAGCATTCTATTAAACTGTAGAATTCACTGCTATTAGAAGTACAGGTGGCCTTCAGATTAGGCAGCTTTAAATGGGAATTAGACCAAGCCATGAAGCTTAGAGCCATCAATGGCAATCGGCTACTAGTCAGTGATGATCATGTATGTATCACCACCCTCTTGAGAGATGTTTTTTATACCCATTTCTGGGGAACATGAGACAGAAGATGCAGTTGCCCTCACATCCTGCTGGCGAGCTTCTCATAGGAATCTCTTTGGTCAATGAAGAAACGTAATGCCTGAGCCCTACATAATAATGAAGTAATTCTTCAGACCTTTTTTTCTCCGGCTTTTCTGCTGAAAGTTTCCGCTCCTACCACACCGTTCTGCTTGACCACAGGTCGCAGTCCATTTGGCTTGGGGATGAAGCGGAGTTTGGATGCCAAGGGAACACACTTCTGCTGCTGCAGAGTTTTGATCTCCTCCTTTAATAAGACACGAAGATGCACTTTGGCCAGATGGTTCCTAGAACAGATGGTCACATTAGTCTTTGATGGACTACAAAGTAGATCATGTTATTTTCCACATAATGATCTATCTAAAACATGTTTTAATTTCCATGTTTTAATCTTTTAATTTTATTTTAAATCATATATTGTTTAACTTGTCTTTTAATATTTAATTTATTGTATTTTAACTGTGTGAATTTTAATGCTGTGAGGCGCCTTGGGTCCCTTTGTTGGGAGAAATGCAGCATACTGATAATAATTATGATGATGATGATAATGATAACAACAACAACAACCTTGGAATACTAAAAGCAAACAACATTGTGCACTCAAAAGTTAAGGAACTGACAGAAAGAGAATATATCAAAAGGCTGTGGAAATTCTAAAAATCAAAATTAAATGGGCGAAATACAATTAAGCCATAAACACATGGGCCATTCCAGTAATTCGACACCCAGCTGGAATAATAGATTAGACTCAAAAAGAACTAGAAGAATTGGATTGTAAAAGATGGAAACTAATGAACATGCATCACACAGTACATCCAAAAAACAATGTGAACAGATTATATTTACCATAAAAAATTGGAGGCTGTGGATTACTGTAAATACAGCAGGTGGCAGAGGAAGAAAAATAGAAGCCTAAATGATTATTAGTACAAGCAGAGAAAAATTACTGAAAGGAGTGAAAATGGAGAATACAACAGAAACAAAGGTTCAATGTAAGAAACAACAATTTGAAAAGAAATTGAACATCTGGAAAAATAAACCACTACATGGATAACACCTGAGAAATATTGATGGAAAGTATGATAACAATTCAACACGGGCATGGCTAAAACTGGGGACCCTTAAGATAGAAAACGAAGGCTTGATTTTTGCTGCACAAGAACAAGCACTCCAAACCAACGGGATGAAAGCTAAGATCCAAGGAGTTAGTGCTAACAGCAAATGTTGTGGTCGAAATGACTAGATAGGTGGGGTATAAATACAATAAATAAATAAAAAGATGAAACTGTGTCACACCTCATCTGTGAACGGCCAGAGATTGCACAGATTACAAAGTCAGACATGATAGAGTGGCAAAGTTAGAGCACTTGTCATTATGCAAAAAATATAACTTGCCAGCCTCCAAAACCCCATGGGAACATCAGGTAGAGAAAGTGTCAGAAAATGAGTAAGTCAAGACCTTGTGGGATTTCTGGATCTAAATGGACAGACACCTTGAACATAACACACCAGATATACTAGTAAAAGAATGAAGAAATGTCCAGATCATTCATTGCAATTCCATGGGATGTCAGAGTTGAAAATAAAGGATTTGAAAAAACTAATAAAGTACAGAGATCTGGCAATCGAAACATCTCACCTCTGGAAGACGCACACTTCAGTGCTCCCCATAGTCATTGGGGCCTTGGGAACAATATCAAGAAATTTCACACAGTACTATAAGCAGTTGCAGATCTCAGAATTCAGACCATCAGAGCTAAAAAGCCCGGCAATATTAGGAATAGCATACATACTGTGTCAATGTTTAACAGATACTTGGTTTTTTGGTTAAAACTTGTACAGTATCTGTTATATAATACCAGTCAATGTTTTTATAATCTTGACTGTGCCTGGAGTTTTTTTTAAGAACAACAAAACAAAGCTGAGATGAATGGAGTCAATTCCCAATGAGGAATTGGGAAGCTGCATACATGGTGCACATCTATCTAAATACAAAGCTCCTCCTAAAATGTGCCAAAGGTATATCAGACCTGCCACCCTCAAACTATCTTCACAAATTATTTCTGCTGTACCTTGTGTGAATGTGTTTCGTGAACTCCCTTATAAATTCCAGCAAAAAAAAACTCAGGAACAGGAGATAGTGTAAAGATATGGGATCTTTTCAGACAGGGTCTGAGCTATTATACTTTTGATTATAAATACCTGATTCCAATGCTTTCTAACTTGCTCCAAATACTTTTTCTGAAGAAGAAAAGTAGGTTCTTCTGAAACATGGTCTCTGTGATGTAGAAGAAAGATCGGAGCAGCTCTGCAACATAGGAGTCCATCAGCCAATAGAGGAATTTGGCCATCAGATCTTGACGAAAACGATGTTCAGAAGAAGGAACAAAATGTCCCTGTTCTAAATGCAGAATTCATATTTAGTGGCAACAAAAATTAACAGTGATTGCTGAATAATACTAATATTTCAAGAAAATTTCAAATATAATATCGAGGAACTGGAAAGCAAAATATAATTTTTAATTAAATGAATGGCATAAAGAAATTTGGAATAAAGCCACTAATGAGAAGCTGACACATAATTTTAAAGTTGAGAACCTTATTGTTAAATAAGAATATTTTTATAGATGTCTGAGGAGCATTTATTGACTGTGCATTAATAAAAGGGAAAGGCTGTGCATCTTTGCAAGAATCAATACAGTTCTGGAGGGGGTAGGGAACTCTGCATGGGAGAAAAATTGATTCTCTCTCGAAATGATCCTGGTTGATGGGGGAGCAAATAGTATTTTACTGTATTGACAAAATGGATGTATGTCATTAATTTGTTAGTTCTGTAATTTTTCTTTTTATATTGTTTGCCTCATGTTGTAATTTTTAATTAAAGTAAGAAAAACCCAAAACGTTCAAGTCGGGGGGGGGTAGCCATGTTTAATAAAGAATATTAACAGCTTCGTGGCGCAGTGGTTAAAACGCTGTACTGCAGCTAAAACTGTGCTCACGACCTGGGGTTCAAATCCCAGGTAGCCGGCTCAAGGTTGACTTAGCCTTCCATCCTTCCGAGGTCGGTAAAATGAGTACCCAGCTTGCTGGGGGGGCAATGTGTAGCCTGTATAATTAAAATTGTAAACCGCCCGGAGAGTGCTTGTAGCGCTATGGGGCGGTATATAAGTCCAATAAATAAATAAATAAATATTGGGGCACCTGGGGACCATAAATTATAAAGAATATCGGGGCACCTTGTTTTATTGCAACCCATGGGAGCATGTGTCAGATAAAATCTATCAGTCCTTAAGGTACCACAAGATTCTCTGCAACAATTCAAAGAGATTTCACTCCTCATTTTTGAGAATTCAGGTCATCAAGAACAATAAAAAGGCTACCATTTTACAATGCTGCAGGTATACGCATAAAGTGCCTTTGACATTTTTACTGCAGCAGACTCTGGTTTATTAGCTTATTACAACCTAATTGGCAACTGCTGGTTTTTTAATAACATGAATGTATATAAATTGTAAAGTTTTCAACACCATGAATAAACATTTGTTCGTAATACAATTGTATTAGTTTGGGGTAACATTAACACAATGCTACTATGCAACAAATCTTTCGACATCAACAATTCCTTCACAGGAAAACACTCAGCTTTGTAGCAGGAATGCCAACTTCCTCAGCCTGGAAAGGGCAGATTCCAGGACTAATGGAGGACGGCACAGTCATGATAAAGATGCAGGCTAATAAAAATGCTCATGGGGTTGTACTTTTGTGTGCTTCTTTGCAAGACTAATTCAGGAGTCTGCAAGAGAACTCTGAAATCCTACGTTGGGTTAGCATTAGAGAGATAGGGGTCGTATTCATATTTGTATACGAATACTCCCCACATAGCTGGATGTAATGAAGGTCCACTCACGTGGCCGCCACTGCCGCCAGCTTCGTAATAAAAATGCTCATGGGGTTGTACTTTTGTGTGCTTCTTTGCAAGACTAATTCAGGAGTCTGCAAGAGAACTCTGAAATCCTACGTTGGGTTAGCATTAGAGAGATAGGGGTCGTATTCATATTTGTATACGAATACTCCCCACATAGCTGGATGTAATGAAGGTCCACTCACGTGGCCGCCACTGCCGCCAGCTTCGCTCTTCCTTGAGATAGGGGTCGTATTCATATTTGTATACAAATACTCCCCACATAGCTGGACGTAATGAAGGTCCACTCACGTGGCCGTCACTGCCGCTGGCTTCACTCTTCCTTCCAATTGCCCCGGAGCTTGTGGTCAGCTAGCCGCTCCTGGCAGAAGGAGGGAAGACAAGTCTCCCTGCCAGGCTGACGAGTAGATAGCCGACCGGGTGCTCTGGAGCGATTGAAAGGGAGAGCAGAGGCAGCATATGCATGAGTGGACAGTCCAGCCTCAGGGGCCAGCCCCCTTTGTCCGTATACAAATACACCCCCTTCTCTAGTTAACATCTTGACCATATTATGGAGTGCTTCCAGGGGGTACTACTTTCATTTTTAAAACAGCCACTGTTACCTTTGTTCAGACGGAGCCAAACACAATTCTTCACCCTCATTTTCCACATCAGTTCTCGCAAAGAAAATACGTTGAACTTCCCAAGAGAGATGAATTTTTTCACATTTTTATAGAAGCGGCATTTGTTATGGCTGGAACCCCAGAGAGCAGCAGGTACCACTCTCTCTATACATTCCCTCACAAACATATACACTTGCCAGTGAGTGCTATGCTGTTTAAGGAACGTCATGACGCCAGAGCTGGAAGAATCTGGGGAAATCTGCCCCTCAGTGTTTTTTCTCTTCAACTCCGCATTTTCAGATTTTCTAATGGAATCTTCTGAGGTTCCTGGAAATGGATTCAAACCATCTGGTGCAAGCCTGAAGCAATTTTCTAGGGTAGTGTCCTGGCGTGACCTGGATGAGCTTCTCCCCTTGCGATGGTCTTTCTCTTTGTCACTCTCTCCTTCTGTGCTCTTCTGGACTGACTCAGAGACCCAAACAGGGCAATTCTTTCTTAACACCTTCAGATAAGGGCACTTTGAGTGGTTCTCCAATAGTTCTTGAAACAGGTCTCTCATTTCCCGATAGCGTTTTGGAAGCCTCCTCTTTCTCTTACCAGAGCTTCGAGGATTTATACTGTCAGGCTGCTTTGTGATCTTACTGTCCAAGACTATCACCTCCACTAGCCGCCTTCCCCCAGATGAAAAACTTTTCAGACGATTCAATATAAAAGACTCAGGTAAACGCTCTTTCAGCTGCCGGTGACAATACAAGAGAAAGCGTCTCTCAATATACGTGACCGGAACAGAACTGCGATCAGAATTCTGAACTGATTTAGATACACGGGTTTTACAGCCACGTCCTCCACTCGTCATTTCTGTTCCTAATGGCTGTCCAAAACAAACATCAGAATCTCCTGTTCTCAGCTTTGGCTGTCTGGTGCTGGATTCTCTTCTACTGTTCAATTCACAGAGTGTTTCACTCTCATTATCCAGCGTTAGAATCTTATCACATAAAAAAGATTCTTGATTATCAGGTACTGCATAAGGTACATTAGACATCTGTGCCCCACATTCAGGGCTCTGAGGAACAGACTTCACAACAATTAACCCATCTTCTGTACACAACCTTGCACATCTTTTAGATGTGCTACCATCACCACCATCATCTAGCATGACTATATTTTTGCTTTTGGTTGGAACGAGATTTCTCATTTCTTTTTCTAATTCTTCCTCTGTTTGCATGATTTTTACTCTTTTAGCACTAGTGCCACACTGACCTGTCCATTTCCGTTTTAGCAATGGTGCTGTTAAAGATGTGCACTGATCGGACCTTTGCACACTCTCTCTGCAAATACTCATCCCTGCAAATGGTTTGCTTTTTGCAGGTTTTAGCCCATGAACTTCATAACCCATTGGAGATAACCGACAGTCACACTCTAAACCTTTCTGTATTTTTCTTGATTTCTGACTTCTGGAGTTCCCTTTCTTCCTGTTTGCTGTTGCTAGGAACTTCCCACAGGACTTCAACCTTTTTTGCAGGTAACCTGATAAGGCACTACGCGTTGGCCCAGGATACCTCTGTCGGAAGAATGCAGAAGACAGTGTTGCATTCCTTAAAGCTAGTTCATAGATGGGCTGCCCACACATTTGGTAACAGCAGCTAGGAGGCACAAGCATAAAGAGAGCACAGTGCTCCAAAAGGTACATCATGACATCATCCCCAACTCTGCTCAGAATTATTTCCCAGAGAATACTCTGGCGAATGGTCTCGGTTGTATTGTTGGGCAAGTAGGTATAGATATTTGGCATGCAGGACAGCTGGTAATTATTCTCATTCAATAAGGAATAGCCAGACGCCAGGAGATTTTTCTTTTTCTTTTCACATATCCTCTGAATGACTCTTGCGACAACATCGTTCAGACTGGAAACCTACCAAGAAACAGAAATGAACATCTACTCAGACACTCAGAGGAACCAAACTGAGCTCAACCTACACCCCGATTCTGCAGTAGCAAAGAGAGAAAAAACACCATTCAGACCTCATATTGTATTGCATTGGCATCACTACTAGAACAAGAAATACAGGGTCTCTGAATTAAAAAAACAAGAAAACAGAGACAAAGATAAATTATTAGGTAGTATGTTCCTAAGATCCAGGAGGACTGCACATGCAAGAAATGTTACTGATTTGCAGAGGACATGGTTTTTCATATGCTCCTGTAGCCAACATATATTTGCAATATAATTTCTAATGCATCTTCCTCTTAAGAATCCGGCTTGAATATCAACATTTCTCACTTCATATATGGTAAGTCTTTGTTGAAACACCTTGAAAATTACTTTGCTTGCACGGGAAATTAATGCAATGGTTCTATAGTTACTGGACTCCTTAACTTCTCCTTTGCTGTAGATTGGAACGTATATTGAGAATATTCCCAGACAGTGGGCCATTGTTCGGTTTTCTATACAGTGGTGCCTCGCTTAGCGAGTGCTTCGCTATGCGATGAATTCGCATAGCGAGGGGGTCCGGGCCATCGCTGGAGTGTTCGCTCAGCGATGGCCCCTATAGCGTTTTTTCGCTTTGCGATGATCGCTAAGCAATTCGCTTAGCGATTTTCGCAGAACGAAGCAGGGGAGAACAGCTGATCGGCGGTTCCAAAATGGCCGCCGGAAGGTCCGCGCCGCATTTTCGCGCCCTGTCCTCGCTTACCGAGGGCGCGAAAATGGCGGCGCTATGGAGGAACATCAGTTAACGGTGAGTTTTAAAGCCACAGGAACGCATTGAACAAAGTTCAATGCGTTTCTATGGCTTTTTTATTCCCGTTTAGCGATGTTTTCGCATAGCGAAGGTTAATCCGGAACGGATTAACCTCGCTATGCGAGGCACCACTGTATTTGTTGACATAGTCTTGTTAGGATTATGATACAATTTCTATAGCTTCAAACAGTTATGTTGGTATCCCACCTACTCCTTGTGGTATATTTCCTCCTAGTGCTTTGAGAACAGCTCTCACTTCACTTTCTAAAACTGTAGGTTCTTTGTCAAAGGAATCAGTCGGCTTGTATTTCTTTACAATTTCCCTTCGATTTCTTAGATCTTATGGAACTCATCTCTTATTGTATTGCCAGGTGACTAGTCTTGCTCAGGGCCAGTGCTGCCATTAGGCTGAATGAAGCCTTTAATTTACATAACTAATTTCAGGTATTATGAACTGTGAATTTAATGGCAATTATTTAATCTATCATTTTAACTTTTACTCCGAGGAAGAGATACCAGTATTACCTCTCAGGAACACAACTTGTCCTGAGTACTTGCACGGCTTGAAAAAACTGTGCTGTTTTGGGGGATTGCAGTCCCCATTGTCCCCCAGCCAGCACAGTCAGAGTTCACACGGCTTGAGGGGCGCCGGGAAAAGAAGTAGAAGAGAAACAAACGAATTCCCCTCCC